ACAGTGACTTTCTAAGACGTGAAAGTAAACACGTCGATATAAAAGAAGAGACATGTTTGTCCACGAAACTAACGATTTTACAAGTAAATCCTTCTAACAGCAGAACTTCCCGCGCAAATAAACCAGAGACAATAAAATATCAAAACTGAAATAGGCACGATGATGTTTTGATTGATGTTTTTTTAAATAAACTTTAAATTAAATATTGGAATTAGAGGTCGAAATCCGTTTTTTGTTTGACACTAAAGAGGAATAATGAAAAACTGTTAAGAATGAAAAACTATAAAATTTGAAAAGAACGAATGGTACATAGAACCTGAAATGAAATAAAATTGAGATCATCATTTTTTTTTTTTTTTAAAGGTACACTGTGTTACTTTTCGGACTGAGTGGGCTCGCCTCTCCACAGCTCTGAACTGTAACGTGGCTTCTTGTCTGTATTGGGGCTAAAAAACGGGGCGGACTTCTGCAAAATCTGTGAGTAAAATGATGGTGACCAATGAGCTCTAATTGGACAATTTTTTAGTTTGTTTCGTTTAGTTCTGGCTCGAGACGTAACCCGGGGAACAGACTGACGTTAACGAGATTTTCCAGCCAACTGTAAAGCAATAACATCTCCACGGCAACTGGCACAAGGCTGGAAACTAAACAGAAAAGTTATACAGTGCACCTTTTGTATTTCCTTAAGCTTTCAATTACAAAAAACCAAAAAAAAAAACTAATCCAGACTTGTCAAAACTTAGAATTTTTAAAACTTTTGCTATGACTTTTTTTCTCCGAACAGTGCAGACATCAACCTCACAATAATAATAAAAAAAAAAAAAACACACTGAAAACATAACATAACACTTTGAATGTTGTATAAAATAATAATAATAATAATAATAATAATATAGGTTTACATGAAGAGTTCCCTTTGAGATTATGCATAAAGTAAGGCACAGTTTAAATATGCAATCACACAACAACAAACGACAGAATAAAAAGATTCAAACGTAACATTCAGAAAGCTGCTTGAATGACAGAGACCTTCATGGCTCAGAGTTGTTCAGTCGAAATCACTAAATGTATGTACACAGATGATGACGTGATAATGAGTTTGGTTTCAAGAGGGCAGAATGCAAAACACGGCAGATGCAAAAAAAAAAAAGTAAAAGCTGCTAACCCTGTAGTTTAGACCTAGAACGTTTTCTGAAATGCACAGGATTCTCGGATCAGGAACAGTTCAGATTTCGTTGATTTTTGTTTAATTGTGTTACTTTTGTACTTGTACTTTTGGAAAATGTTTGTATTATGAGCTTAAAGGTGCACCGTGCAACTTTTCTAATCGATGGTGAACCACCTGCTTCACTTTGTAGCCAAGTTTGCCTGTAATGTTCCGCATCATGGCATTAACTCTGTCACATTTATTGGGTTTTAGTGTTTTTATTACCATAATTTCCACACTATAGGACGCACTTAAAAGCATTTAATTTCATCAAAAAATGACTGCGCGCCTTATAATCCAGAGCGCCTTATATATGAATTTATTGGGGTGTCTTAGTACGACTTTAGTAAAGTACAAAGCCGCTCCACTTGCAGCATTACGGCTCCAGCAGTCAGGAGTATCAGGAGTAATACAAACTGTGATTCCTTTTAATATCAAAATGCACCTGTCAAGAGACACGCTCACAACGCCCACTTTAAACTCAAGGCTGTTATAAAGTGAAAGTGTGAGCTGCGTGGGAGCAGTGGATGAGAGAAGGAGAACACACTTTCACCAAGACAGAGAGACAACGCCGAGCCACTTATGCCACGATCTGCCAACGGATCGTGGACGCCTGGGCTAAGGATCAGTATCAACTGTGGTCCGAGCTTTCACCAAGACCAGAATCATCACTGAACTGCCAGGGAACAGTAACCACACTGACTCGGATCATGACGAGAGGGATGTGGACGTGTGGACGCCGGAATCGCCCAACTGTTTGAACTATTATGACTTATTGTGAACACAGGAACAATTTAGTGTCACAGACAGTATTTTTTTTTTTTACACGTTACAATTAAACAAAGTTGAGAGTTATTGTGAACACGTTAAATAAAGTTTGACCGACTTATCTAACTGTTGTGTTTCGTTTAATGCGCCTTATATTTCAGTGTCAGTGTGGTTTATATGTGAAAAAAGTTTGAAAATAGACCATTCAATGACAGTGCACTTTATAATCCAGAGCACCCTATAGTGTGAAAAATACGGTACTCAAAAAAACACACACTCTTACTGTTAGATGGGTCTCCTCTCCATAGATCTGCTATGGAGTTTAATGCCATACTATGAAACGGTCCAGGCAAAGCAATAACATCTCCATGGAGACAAGCGAGTGGCATGATCCCCTTTAGAAAGTTACGCGGTGCATCTTAAAAAAGTCATGACATTATGATATGATGAAAAAAATGACAATATATGAAATCTGTTTTAGAACTTGGCTGCTTTTCTGTTAACTCGTGTTTCTTTAGACTTCACTTCATTAGATAAATCAATATAGGATTAAATGAACACAAACTCGTTCAAAACATCCCTAAACCCAAACCAGAACCTTTAAAACTTTAAAACCACAGTCCACAAGCACACGTACCAGACTGGGTCATCCCTTTAACGCACTGGAACTTATGACCGTCATTCACAAAACCCAAACCCAAAATGTTCAGTTTGACCAACACTTAAAGGGACATGTTATACAACTTTTTATGAACTTTGAACCATGTCCTAACAGTGTTCTCTCATTATCTCACTCAGAGTTGTATTTAGAGTTTATTTATTTATTGATTTATTCCTGCAGGTTTGCGGGTTAGGGTTAGGGTTAGGGTTGTGTTGTGTGAGCCTGCTCTACAGTTAGAATCTATGACAGTTTTGGAAAAAGGCTTGATAAAATAAACAAGCTCGACTTCGGTTTTATAAAACTGGTGTCCAATGAGAGCTGACGTCGCCGTAAACATCATCACAACTAGGAGCGTGCAAAAATATGATATCATTTAATGTGATGATACAGTATTGATATCATGGGTTGCTGTATCAATATATCGCCAAGAGTTGTTTTTTTTGGTATATTGTACTAAATTATTTTGTTACAGCTACAGTTTTGTTGTTTGTTTAGTGCAGGGGTGTCAAACTTAAATTCACAGAAGCTAAAATTAAAAACTGGCACTAAGTTGTGGGCCAAACTAAATATTTATTGAAAAATGTCCACAACATCTGCATGTTTTCTCTTCTTTGGAGATATTTTTCTTATTAAAATAAATGTTTAATAATAGTTTTGCTTAAATGCTGAATCCAGAACAAGCAGAATATAAAATAATAACAAAATTTTAAATAAATAATGTCTCTATAGTCTATCTGTAGCCATAAATACTGTAAATATTTGAAATGATTCACTGTTTTGATGATTAAAACGTTTGTGTTTCATATGAATTTTGCACAAGAAGTGGTTTAACAAAGACTTTAAGTGTCAAACCTTTGATTTAGCCTTTTTATTTTTATTGAACCGTATTGAATCGATTTGAAATATATTGTATTGAATCGTAAGCTCACTGTATCGAGGTATGTATCGTATCGGCAACTTCTTAATGATCCCCTGCCCTAATCACAACAAAGTGCTGCATGCTGTGGGCCCTTTTGTGGATATCTGTACATTACACCTAACCAGACATTACATTTGGACCTAAAATGAATTGTACGTGTATCAAAGATTAAGAAAATAAAATTGAAGCATTAAGCAAGTATGTCACAGTGTAGCGGTGGACGCAGACGGACGCAAAATGTCACCTTGATAATAAGTGATTAAAGACGACTCTAATACGCACTAATCTCTCCAAATACAACTTCAGAGGGTCAATGAGAAGAAACGACTAGAACATGATTAAAAGTCCATTTTGCAGAACAGGTCTGCTTCAACATATTAGAGGACCTTCAAAGGAATTTATGGCATTATGAGAGTTTAGGTGGGTTAATGTGGTTTGAGATTAACATTGTATGGAAAAAAAAAAAAAAAAAGTTGAGACTCATAATGCTACAATTTAAAAGGGAAACTACTCTGACATAATACTGATTGTACACACATTACAAACCGGTTTCTGATTTAAATCCTACTGAAAACTGAATATCCAGTTTGGTGTTTTGAAGCTCTCTGCTATAAAACCACATCACTAAAAGAAAATCCATCAGGCAACCAGATTAGCATAAACTGTACATTTTAGAGCAAGAAGTCTATTTCAAAATCCTCTAATCCCCAGTGACCACAAGTGTATGACTAAACTCAGGTTAAATATTGTGACTAGTGACGGGAGGGAGTCGTGGTGATGTCAGGATTTTACAAACTTGTTCCTAAAATGTGCTTCTCATGTGATTAAAAATGAGCCAACGCAAAACAGCGACCAGGTTTGACATTAAACTACTGACTTGTGCTGACAGGGAAGAGACTGAACTTTGTGACTGTTTTTGTTTCACGTGGATAGGCCCAGTAATAACAGATATGAACCATAAAACGCGTCGAATATATAGGTAGTTATTTTTAAAAACACATTTCTTGAGGGAGGGATGTAGTAGTAATAGTAAGTAGTGAAGTAAGTAGTGAAAAACAGGTGGAACTAGAGACATTAGAATACTGAAAATGTTTAATGACCTTAAAATGTACGGAAGCCGAGGGGTCACAACAAACGCAAACACCGCAACAAATACAAATGTGACAACACAACAAAAAGCCACAACAAACCAAAAAAAGCCACAACGGAAGTGACCGCGGGACTCTATTTTCAGACGGACCGATCAAGCGGCAAGTGAAGAAGAAGAAGTACAACGGGAAAAGAAAAGGAATGGAGAAGTTGGAAACGTAAGTAGAAGTAATGTATTGTTTTATCATTATTCCTTTCCCGTTGTACTTCTTCTTCTTCACTTGCCGCTTGATCGGTCCGTTGGAACATAGAGTCCCGCGGTCACTTCCGTTGTGGCTTTTTAATGTATTGTGGCATTTTACTGTGTTGCGGCATTTGCGTTTGTGTTGTGGCTTTTGCGTTTGTTGCTGCGTTTGCATTAAAATAGAGTCCTGCGGTCACTTCCGTTGTGGCTTTTTAATGTGTTGTGGCTTTTTAATGTGTTGCGGCATTTGCGTTTGTGTTGTGGCGTTTGTATTAAAATAGAGTCCTGCTGTCATTTCCGTTGTGGCTTTTTGCTGTGTTGTCGCGGCGTTTGCGTTTGTTGTGACCCCTCTCGGCTTCCGTACAAATGGGACTTAACACCTAAACTTCACCCACGACCACATTTCAAATAGAGCTGCTAAACCGGGCAGTACCTGGAGAATTAAAGGGGAGAGTACGACAGTGGGACTGGTCGAACAGGTATCCAAACTTCAAATTCCACCCCTGCAGCCAGCTGTTTGTATCAGAAACACGAGGCTGTAACCAGGGCAGTGCTGTGTGATGTCATCAACTACTTGAAATCGCAGAGGTCACTGAAGCCTGTAAATGTACCTAGTTTACACTAAAGTTGCCAAAAATGCCTAGCAACAGTATATAATGTTGTTCAAACACCATATACACCGTTTAGTAGTGACAATGTTCACTATTAAAGTTCCACTTGAAGTTTGTGCCTTTCAAACTCCTTGAAGGACAGACATTGTAGTTGTGGTGGTAGTAGTAGTAGTAGTAGTAATAGTAATAGTAATAGTAGGTAGTGATGATGATGATGATGATGATGATGATGATGATAGAAAAACAGATGTAATAGGTCCCTTTTAAAATGAGTTTTTCCTTGAGGCATGATGATTCTTGTGCAGAGATGAATAAAATAGAAAATGTTTAAATTACCGTAAGTTTGAGATATTGTGCCATTTGAAATCCAGGAGGGAGCAACACGGTCGATTCAAACTGTAGAGATGAGGACAGTAAAACAAATGAACTTCCCTTTTGGTTAAAGTCAGTGCCTGTTCCAGCTTCATGAGGTTAGCTGCCGTTAGCGACAATCCGAACAACGATCGACCCACAAAATGTCCGCTGCGTTTTCAAAAACAAACGCACAAAATGTCCGCTGTCCAGAGTCCAGAGTGACGCAGGCCCACAGCAGCTCAGAGGGGCGTCAGTGAAAAGTCTGTCCTCTGAAAGTGAAGCTGCAGCTCACGGCTCATTTAAACTCCACACGAGCCTGAGTTTAATGATAAGTCCGACTCCCGGCTCATTTAAACAACAGTCTGTTTTATAAGAAGTCCAGCTCCAGAGCCTGGTGCAGAGACACGAGGTCCCCGTGAGTCGAGATCCTCCAGAACGGCATGTTGTGCTGAGGGGGAAACACACACAAAGATTTCAGAATTAGTAACTATTCAATCAGAAAACATCGGACTCATTTCGAATGGGATGTGATTCATTTAAATTCTATTTTGAAAAGGCCTGTAGTCGTTTAGCCAGTTAATCAGGCCATGGAGTCTCAGTTGACTCATCATTTTATTTTGATTATAAGGATTAGTGTGGGACAACAGTAGAAAGGAGAAGTGAGTGAGCGAGCTGAAGAAGGTATTTCTCTGTAAAAAAGTCAGATTAAAGTCATGATTCACACGTTGAATGTGTCTTTGAACAAATACTACTACATTGTTCCTAGTTCTTTTTCCTGCATACTGTATTTTCCGGGCTATTAGGCGCTCTGGATTATAAGGCGCACTGTCATTAAATGTTCTATTTTCGAACTTTTTTCACAAATAAACCGCGTGGGACTTTAAAGGAAACCCAACAGTGTGATGGGTGAGTGGTTTTGTTTGTTTGTGGCGTTCACGGTGACTCTGGGCTTTGTTCAGTTGTGTCTAGAAGTGGCACATTGCACTCGCTTTTTCGGTTCGTTCCTCCGTTCCGTTCCTCGTCGGCGTGGAGTGATGAGTGTGTCTGTGGGTGTGTTTCGCTGTGCGGTCGCTGTCTGCTCCGTGTGTGTTTGTGTGTTCTGTGGGTGGTGCGGCTTTGTAGTTTACTGAAGTCGTGCTGAGACACCTGAGTGGATTCGTGTATAGGGCGCTCTGGATTGCGGTGGGCGCAGTCGTTTTTTGATGGGGTTGGAGGCTTATGAGCGCGTCTAATAGCCCGGAAAATACAGTACATTGTTTCTGCGTGTAGATGCAGTCTTGTGATTGCAGTTTGGGTCACATATATTCCATTTCTCTGCTGTATCTAGGGCACTCACTGCCAGGTCAGTCCCTGTATTGGCCTGTGTCAGCAGAGGTAACAGACTGTACTGGACCAGACTGTACTGGACCAGACTGTACTGGACCAGACTGTACTGGACCAGACTGTACTGGAGCAGACTGTACTGGACCAGACTGTACTGGAGCAGACTGTACTGGAGCAGACTGTACTGGACCAGACTGTACTGGACCAGACTGTACTGGACCAGACTGTACTGGAGCAGACTAGAATGGACAAGACCATCACAATATCCTGAGAGTTCATGTGTGCGGGTGCTTGGTCCTGTACTGATTAATGTCATGTCCAATGTTGGGGAGTAACAGATTACATGTACCAGAGTTTACATGTAATCAGAGTACAAATTATGAGTAACTGTATTCAGTTACAGTTACTGTTTCAATGAGTGGTAATTGGATTACAGTTATTCGGTTGAAATAAATTGTCTTTTTTTTTTTTTTTTTCCCTCAGTAATTACACTCATTGCCGGACACTAAAACCAGGTCTAAAACCAGGTCTAAAACCAGGTCTAAACTAGGACTAAACCAAGACAAACCCAGGACTAAACCAGGTCTAAAACCAGGTCTAAACTCAGTCTAAAACCAGATCTAAAACCAGGTCTAAACCCAGGTCTAAAACAGGATTATTACAGGACTAAATCATGCTGGGTGGACGTGTCTCCTCATCTTCTATCAATAATATTTTTAATACGGTTAAGTAAAGTCTGGGCTTTTCATTTTCTTTTAGCAAACAAAACATTTTCTCGTCTTTGCTTCTCTACAGCAAATCAGGTAATCCAAAGTATTCAGATTACATTTCTCAAACTACACGTTGGGGTATGTAATCTGTAATCTGTAGGGGAATACATTTTAAAAGTCACCTTCCCAACACTGGTCATGTCAGCAATTACATCTTCATGGAGACTACAGTGGACTATACACAGTTGCATCTTTATGTTGCCTTGTTACATAAATATGTTTAAAGTGTATTTACTTGTTTTGCAGCAAACTCCTCGTCTCGTCCATCTCCGATCACCACGTACGTCACCTTCTTCCCAAAACGGGACACGATCCTCTCGAAGCAGCTCTCCTTCCCTGAACACAAGCTCAGGTTTAGGCTCATACAGGGTTTAAATGTGTCTGTGTCTATAGTCACACAGGTATATGCGGTGTAGTAATTGTTACCTATCTTGGTGGCGCTGTAGATGTTCTCGATGGGGAACACTTCTCCCAGTCCGTACAGCAGAACTTTGGCCAGAGCCGGAACCAGCTGAGTGGTGGTCACCAGAACGTTCAGACACTTTCCTCTGAGGAAAACACAATTCAAGGTTAGTTTGTGTATAATCCTTTAATCTACAAAAGACTTCAAAGCTGTACAAACAAGTTGTGAAAGACAGGAATGCTGGTATGAAAACAAACAACTCAAATCTCTCTCTCTCTCAATAGTATGTTTATGTACAGTATATTTTTAATCTGATAATTTATCAAAACTGTTGAGCCCAGCCCATATGACATGATCATTATCTCCACAATACAATGTGTGTATGTGTACAGGCCCATGAACATTAGTGTGATGTTGGTCACACATGAGAATGTTTGTGTTTACTAGTGTGGAACCAAAATGTCATTTTTCATGAGTTGTGTGTGTGTTCGTTGTGTGACTGTAAATCAGTGTGTTGTGTTTCACCAGAAAAACAATAAACGGAAATTATTTTTGTTCCAATTAGAATTTTAACGGCAACATTGAAAGAGAAAGGAACTGTTAGAATTAGTGATTATCTGGAAAACTGTTCATATTTTACTATACAAATGCATAGAATTATAAATAGAGATTTTGAGACACTCCCGTTGCTCGAACTCGATCCTTCACGGAGTTATGACCAAAAATGCATATTTGACCTTGGTTACTGTGACCTTCAAGTGACCTTGACCGGTTTCAACCTGTAACATCCAGTGTGCCCCGATTATGTGTGTGCCAATGTGTGTGATGATTGGGTGAATATTTTAGGCCACAGATGGTTCAGAAATTCCCGAAATTGACGATCCTTTATAAGGACTTGACCTTTCTATTGACCCGTGTGACCTCAAATGACCTCGGATCGTCACCAAACTTTTTTTTTGCAGCATCAGACACGAGGGCTTGAACGACGTACCAAATTTGGTGACAATCGGTCCATAAATGGCAGAATGACACACACACACACAGACACGCACACAGACACGCACACAGACACGCACACAGACACGCACAGACACGCACACAGACACACACACACTCTTTATATCAACAAACCACTCAGATAACTGACACTCAACCTACTGAGCTTCTGCTGTCATACGCTGCACCTCTGGATGGTTCTGTTCGAGTTACTGTGAGTACATGTGTTTGTAGTACTATTCCCATACCTTCCCTTTATGAGCAGCCATGATTTATTAACCTGAAACATTCCTAATAATGTGAATAAAGTCAGAGTAAATGTTTTATAATGTTGTGCGTCCCTTTGTTAAGTTGAGAGTGTTGTATTCTGTACCTTCCCTGTACGGCTCCTGATTGAATTAGTAGGGGTGAAACAATATCCAAGTGTCACGATACGATATCGTCAAGGTATGAACCTCACGGTACGATATTTATTGAGATATCGTGGGAAGGCTCACGATTAGGGATGTAACAATATCCAAATCTCTTGTTACGATATTTTCATGAATCACATCTCACGGTGCGATATTCATTACGATATTTTGCGGAGGTTAACAAAACTGTTACTATGTGACTTTTTCCTCTTAAAATGCCTTGACAAGACTTAACCCAAAGAACTAAGACTTCAAAGTGCTTAGAACTGTTATTTCTTCTTGTGGTCTGTACTTAAATGGAGCAAAGGATCATGGTCTGTGTAGTTTCCTCTGTCTTTTGTCTAACTCTCCAAAGAGTTAGACAAAGCAATGAGCAAAGAGACTTGTAATTCCATATATTGTGATGGTCCACGATATTATTGTGAGAACTTTGACGATACGATATCATGATATTTTAGTGATTGTTACATCCCTATGATTTTCAGTAGTAAATGTGATTGTAGTCCAGTTCTGACTCGTACCTTCCCTGGCTGGTTTCTCGTCGAGTTACAGTAGTAAATGTGATCATAGTCCAGTTCCGTACCTTCCCTGTATGAGCAGCAGAGACTTGAGCGCTGTGCTGAGCCAAGCGTCAGTCACGTTTTCGATCTCCGTCTGCAGCCTCAGGAGCAGGTCTCTCTTTATCGGACTCAGCAGACCTGCACAACAAAATATGGCCATTTAGAACTTATCTTCTGCCACGTTTTCAGATAAAGTACATGTATTCTTCACCACCTTTTGGCCAATACTGTGCAATATTTTGACTTTTAAAAACTTTTTTGGACATCTCATCTAAACGTAATATGTCGACAACTCAAACCTTTTTCGATTACATTTTAAGCCGATGATAAACTGTACTGCAGGATTCTTTTCAATTGCAATGGAAAACAGCACAATTAATATATTTGTCATTAAAGGTCAGAAGAAGTAAAACTCAATATGCAAACATTTCTGAGTAGTAATTTTTCCATAATTAAATTCCATTGTAAACATGATTAAAAGCCATCGTAGTTTTATATAGATCATTTAAGAGATAAATTATAAAACGTCTAATCAGATTCCAGATAAACAGAATTCACACAATCACGCGGCGGTCGTATACTCATGAACTTTGTGCAGAGTCAAAATGAAAGTAGTAAAACACAGATTATTTCACAACACAAGTCATATCACTACTACTCACTTTCATTCATAAATTTATACATGCATTATCAACGGACGTTCCTGTATTTTTCTAGTTTGCAGTTTATGCGGTTTGATATTCCAAAAGTTTTTTTTAAGTCAAAGTGCCGATTTCTAGTGTTTAACAGACTTTTTTTTTTTTTTTTACTTAATACATGCAAATCAGTTTTTGAATGGTTTCCCTTATCAGATTACTTAGAGCTGGATGTGAGAGATTCACTGATGTTATGAGGAATCCATTATCATCCTGTCCTTATCAAGCTGCTAAGAAATGGACTGGTTCACCTTAAACCCTCCAGAATACAGGAAATGACACCGGTTTTATCAAAGCAAATTAGATTCAACTATAAAGATCATCTGTGAGTAGTAAAAGAACACAGAATGAGACTGAGTATTGATAATTTGCCGCTGTTGTCATCTGCATTTCCTGGGGATGTGACGCTAACTGTGGACACTGCCCTGTCTGAAGCTTTGTTACTCAAATTAGACTTTAATCAGAAAGATTTAATTTAGTTGGAACTACAACAGGAGAGCTGGTTTGTGCTGTTAAACAAGTCTCTCTCAAATAACATTGCAGCCACAAGCCAACAGTTTTTTAGTTTGTCACTCACTTTTTTCTTGAAAACCATGAAAGCTTGCATTGATCACACACTCCTGAAAAGTTGTTTAAACCCATTTTGTATTTTTGAGTTTTCAGTTTCTTAAAACTTTTGAGTGTTTTCCAATGTGTGCATTCTGTCTCCATGGTAACTACTGAACATTCCCACATAGAGATGCATGTAGGACGCCCCAGTGTGATGTCACTGCAAAGTACAATTGACCACCTGATGACAAAAGGTGGAACAGAGTAAATCAGAAGGATGTGTGAATGAAACAAAACAACTCCAGGGATGTTTTTAAGGAGTACCGTATTTTCCGCACTATAGGGTGCACTTAAAAGCCTTTAATTTCATCAAAAAACGACTGCAGGCCTTATAATCCAAAGTGTCTTATATATGAATTTATCGGGGTGTCTTAGTACGACTTTAGTAAAGTACAAAGCCGCTCCACTTGCAGCATTACGACTCCAGTAGTCAGGAGCATCAGGAGTAATACAAACTGTGATTCCTTTTAATATCAAAATGCACCTGTCAAGAGACACGCTCACAACGCCCACTTTAAACTCAAGGCATTTATAAAGTGAAAGTGTGAGCTGCGTGGGAGCAGTGGATGAGAGAAGGAGAACACACATTCACCAAGACAGAGAGACAACGCCGAGCCACTTACACCACGATCTGCCAACGGATCGTGGACGCCTGGACTAAGGATCAGTATCAACTGTGGTCCGAGCTTTCACCAAGACCAGAATCATCACTGAACTGCCAGGGAACAGTAACCACACTGACTCGGATCATGACGAGAGGGATGTGGGAGTGTTGGACGCTGGAATCACCCAACTGTTTGAACTATTATGACTTGAATACACGAACAATTTAGCGTCACAGACAGGATTTTTTTTACGTGTTACAATTGAACAAAGTTATTGTGAACACATTAAATCAAGTTTGACTGACTTATCTAACTGTTGTGTTTTGTTACGGCCCCAAGCCTTAGATTGTAATTTGTTCTGTGTTTTCTAAATTATTCTGCTGACACACCTGGATTCCTGCTGTGGGTGCCCTCGTTTGTGATTGGTGGGGCAAGTCTACGCCCACCTCACCTGCAGCCACCGCCCCCTATTTAAGAAGATTGCCAGCACCTGATCGGGGCTGCTGACCTTGGTGGCCAGTCTGCCATTTTGTGTTCATGTGTGTAGTTTAGATTAGTTTTGTTTTGTGAGTTTTTTGATTTGGCCACTTGATTCTGTTTGTGGGTTTATGTGGTTTAATTTGGGGAACTTGTGTTTTAGTTTAGTGTGTGTCCCTTAATTTTACCACTCGTTTTTTGTAAGCCTGCGTGAGCCCTTTTGTGGCACAAAACAGTTTATTCTGTTCTTCTGTTTCTTAGTTTAGGTTGTTTTCTGTATATTTTTAGAGTTTTGTTAATTTACCTTTTACCTTCCTGTTAATTAAACATTATTTTATTTATTCCATTTCACATCTTGGTTTTATTTTTGTTACTACCCTCACCCCAACGAGCTGGGTTCTAACAGTTTTGTTTAATGTGCCTTATAGTCCGGCGCGGTTTATGTGTGAAAAAAGTTTGAAAATTGACCATTCAATGACAGTGCGCCTTATAATCCAAGGTGCCCTGTAGTGCGCAAAATATGGTAAACCCTTTAAAGGTTTGAGCGGAGAGTCAAACCCACCTCCCACGTTGTTCTTGTATCCGTTGTAGATCTCCTTTAATCTTCTGTATCTGAAGGCCAGTTTCCTCATCCACTCCACTCCTCCCTGCACTCCGCTGTTGGCCCCTCCTGCCCCCGCCCCCCCTGAGCCACTGAAGCCGTCTGCTACAAAGTTATAGTTACTGTGGGAGACAGAGGGAGAGAGGATGAGGTATAGATCAGCGCTGAACAGGTTAAAAACACAATACTGCAAGCACATAAAGCATTTAGATCTTTGGTCATACTAGAGTTGAGGAACAAAAGATACTAATCAACACTACAACTAGTATCAAAACTCAACTGAGCAAGTATCCTTAACAGAAAAGAAAAAAAATCAAAATGCAAAAAGTACAAAATAAGACCTGTCCTGAATAGTTTTCGTTTGGTCTTAATCAATTGTACATACTTTTTTTTTGTTTTTAATCAAACTGAAGTTTTATTATTGAGCCATGGAACAGCCTTTTTAGCGGCTGGGTCACTGCTGGTAAATACATGTATCACTACTAAAAACTTCTGGATGAATTTTAAGTATTTAGCACTTCAAACTCAAACTCTTAAATGAAAACTCACGTGAGGTCTTGTCCGTTATCGTCTGAAGCTACATCTTCAACATGAACCTGATCACACTCCTGAAAAAGATGCAGAGGAGAAGGTCAGAGGAGAGAAGGAGAGGGTCAGAGGGTCAGAGGAGCAGTGGAGAGGTCAGATGTTTGTACCTCGAGGTCGTTGAAGAAAAGGTGAGTATCTGCGAGCTCAAAGATCAACTCCTCCATTTGCAGACCCAGGTTCAGGACTGTGGCTGGGTCCTGCACAAATACAAAATAATACAAATACAATATAAATACATAAATAAGTTACAAATAGAACTTCAACTTGAAATAACCAAACGGAGTGGTACCTTCCCAAACTTCTGTGCATAGGAGCCTGTGAGCAGTGAGTGGAAAATGATGATGGTCTCATCCAGATCCCACAGAAAGATGCGCTAAAAACAAACTAAAATTACACAATGCTTTTATATTTCCTAAAGATACTTGAAGTTTTTAAGTCCAAGTATCAAAAATAAAAGCTTTTATTAATTATGGTACAAAAAAAGTCTCCACTGGAAAAAAAATAAATAAATTACTACAGTTCTATCAATCTCTGATGACCACCAGAGGGCGATGTTGGAAGCACTGAATGAATTTCTCATTAGGAATGAAGTGGTACTAGCAGCAACAGCAGTTCTAATAGTAGCAGTAGCCGTGGTAGTAGTAACAGCAGTAGTAAAAGTACAAGTCTGTGGTCCACTGTTACCTCCAGGTCGGTCTCGGTGGGTGGGCTCTCTGCTTTCTTGTTTTTTCCTTTGGATTTTCCCATGGAGTTCCTACGGCTCATGTCGTCCTGCTCCCGCGCTCCTGCAGGGGGCGCTGTGGGCAGAGCTGCAGCAGCCGGGAGTGACTCTGGAGGAGACGAGTCTAAGGAGAAAAAAAACCACATGATGTTCCAACGTTTCCATATTTACAGCGAGAGCTGATCTATTCTAGATAAATGTGTGGAAGTCAGAGTGCTGCACAAATCAGTCTGACAAGAGACGTTTCCTCCATAGATGTAATCAGTGGGATGATAATAATGAACTGTGTGTGCAAGAACAGTTGTTCTACAGGCTCACCTCTAGGGGGCAGTCCAGCGGCCGCAGCCTCCTCAGATTTAAAGCCGGAGGAGGCGGAGTGATCATCGGAGGAGGACAGAGCTGCAGGGACAAAGGACTGAGGCAGAGAGTAGTACTGAGGGAACTGTCCCAGGGCGCTGTAAGTGCTCAGCTCCTGCAGGGGGAGACACCGAGACAGGAGTTAAATACAGTATTTAGTATTTGGTGAGTATATGGTCTGTGGTGAATAATTCACCTACTGTTAATTTATCATTTAATCTCTTTTTCTCATGGGATTTTTAATGAACCTGTTTTTCAGCTCTGGTCAAAGCCTGATCTCGTCTCAGAAGCTGAGCAGAGCTGAGCCTGGATCGTACTTGGGTGAACCAAGAGAACACCACAGAGTGACACCCGGTATTCCCAGAGCAGAGCACCAGTGACAAAAACTGTTGTTGTGTCCTTAAACACCACACTTCACCAACACTCCCAACACATTAATTCTAGGCAATGCTGGTGGAAGTTGGAGGGGCCGATGGTGCAGACTGGCAGCCTCACATCTGTCAGTCTGCCCCAGGGCAGCTGTGGCTACAATAGTAATTTACCACAACTGTGTGTGGAGTGAATGAAGAATGTACTGTAAAATGTTTTGAGGGATTGAAAGGTGGTGTATAAATCCAGGTCAGCTTTACCTGTGGAGCAGTAGAAGACACTGTGGTGGGGGCAGTGGCCGAGGGCAGACTGGAGTAAACACTGGACGTGGTAAAACTCGAGCCTGAATCAAAGGAAAACACATTAAACATGAACATTTAAGCCTGAAGCTGCCAAACTCTGGTCTACTGTTCTGTGCTGGAGTGAATGCAGAGGTTGCGTGTTGCGGGTGCAGACGGCTTGCCTTGGCTGGGGTAGGAGTAGTGTAGTGGCGCAGCCTGAGGGGGGCAGTATGCGGCGCTGAAGCTGAGAAACCCGGGCTGACCAGTAGAGGGCGCCTCCGAGGGCACTGCCTCTGATTTGACGCCCGGCCACAAAGCTCCTGAAGAAGTGAGAGGAGGCAGGAAGTGCTCAGCGACAGACAGGAAGTGGATCAAGAACAAGCTTCAGATGATAGAGGGTTTGATGCATGGAAAAGCCGAGTTTGTTTTCTTGGCCAAAGTATGTCTGTCAGAGTTCACATGATACTGAGTGTAGGGTGCACAAAAGTATGGAAAATCTGATGATAATCAATTCTAAAACTTGTATCAAAGCTCATTTGAACAAGTGTCAATACTAAAAATGTCCCACTGAAAAGGACAGAGCAGAATCTTTCCTGAATGTCTTTAGAAAGATCTGGAGTTGTGTCAGAAGATCACACAGACTAGTACACACACATGGACCACTATAGAACCTACCTGGACCATTCCTTAGTATTGAAATAGTGTTTAAAAATGTGTGCACTTGTCACGATACTAAAATTTGAATCTCTAGGATGATTTTAAACTGCGACTTGTGAACAGAATCTTTTCTTTTGAGTTTTTTGCAATAAAACTGTTCAAAACTTAACCACAATACTCGTCTGCAAAATGTGAAAAGTGTTGCAAAAACCCAAACTATCATTGTAACAGGAGGTTATGAGCAGATGTGAGGCTGCAGCTGAGTGAGAGTTAGTTTAACAGAAATGTAAATTAAAAAAAGAGAATTAAAAATCAAACTGACCGAAAGGAGGGAGTCCATACGTCTGTCCGCTCTGAGAGAAAGACGAGTATAAACCCGACTGCGCCAGAGGAGGGAAAGAGACCGGGCTGAACGAGGTGACAGAAGGACTGAGAGGGGGGAGAGAGGGAGGAAGCAGGGAAAGATAAAAGAGGGAAGGATAGGAGAGATAAAGAGGGGACAGAGAGGGTAGAAGGAGGGAGGGGAGGGGTGAGAATGGGGAGAATTACAATCGAGGAGTGAATGAGAGGACAGAGAGAGGGAAGAGTGGGACGTGGGGGTGAGGAGAGAGGGAGGGAGAAGATTATTAGAGAGAAGGTGAGGCAGAGTATGAATACATTTACAATAACACCACATATATACAATAAAGTTCTATTTTCTCTTCCAACTATCACTGCCCTTCTATTGTAATAACTCTCAAAAGTCTTTAACTCTTTCCCCCATGAAGACAACAATTTGACACCTCTGTGATATCACTAAAGACATGATTTGATGATGAGTTGAATTAACTAAATGGAAAAACAACAGGTAAAAACAGGTGTACACTTTGCTATACTCTATCTGGTGATATGAAATCTGTTTAAATACTTTGACAAATGTATTTTACATTTTTTTATGAATCTAGTACTCAGAACATGCATATATCAGATGCTGAATGTAGTTTTTTGTTTTCGATTTTGCACCTGACCAGGTAAACTCTCATTTTCAGTGAGCTGTTATACACCTGTAAATGAGATGAATCGCATTTATATGTCCACAAATTAATAGTTCAGAGTCTAAGGCAGGCATGTCCAAACTATGGTCTGTGGGCCAAATGTGGCCCTCAGACAAATTTAGTTTGGCTCTCATGCTTCCAGGCCAATTGGCCCAAATTACTTTGCATCAATAAACAAAAGCTAGTATTTAATATTTACAGTCCCTGACAAAAGTCTTGTCGCTTATCCATTTTGTAGAAACAAAAGCTTATAACCTGACTTTAAATTAATCGATTGGTTTTAGAAATGTCTCATATGAAAGTTAAAACCCTCCCAAATTATGCTCAATATACTAAAATAAATTTGCTTCACTGAAGAAAGATTGATCATTTAATGAACACAGAAAGGTCAGATTTTGGCAAGACAAAAGTTTTGTCGCCTTGTCATATGATGCACCCAATCCTAGATTACAGCCTCACCTGTGATCAGTTACTGATCAATCAATTAGTGTTTGTGTATAAAAAGAACCCAGCAGAACCAGACCTTCACATCAACTGCAACTTGACCTCTGACAACATGCCTAAGATCCACCCTGAGACCAAAGCCTTAATTATCAAGAGGCTGAAGACCAGATCCACTGCTGAGGTGGTGACACCTTCAATGTGTCTCAGCATCAAGTACAAAGAATAAGAAAAAGATCTGAAATGACTGGAGATGTTTTTGACAAGCCCAGGTCCAGCAGACGCTGCAAGACAACTGCTCGGGAGGACCGTTTGTTGATTCGAAAATCCAAGGCCCCTTTTCCACTGCAGCAGACTCCACCAGGCCTGGTCACCTCAAGTCCCTGTGTCAACCACAACAGTTTGTAGAATTCTGTCTCGAAATGGCCTCCATGGATCGAATCAGTGCACAGAAACCAGCACTAAACAAAAGGCAATTAAAAAAACCGTGTGGCATTTGCCAAGGCCCACAGCCTGCTAAAAGGATGGACACTGGAAAAGTGGCAGAAGGTGGATTTCTCAGATGAATCCTCGGTTGAATTACATCACAGCCACCGCAAATATTGCAGGAGACCTACTGGAGCCACATGGATCCAAGATTCACCCAGAAAACAGTTAAGTTTGGTGGTGGAAAAATCCTGGTCTGTGGTTACATCCAGTATGGGGGTGTGAGACATTTGCAGGGTGGAAGGAAATATCAATAGCCTAAAATATCAAGAAGTATTAGCTCCTCTTACATTCCCAACCATAAAAGGGGTCAAATTTTGCAGCAGGATGGTGCTCCATCACATACTTCTATCTCTACATCAAAGTTTGTCAAGGTGAAGAAGATCAAGGTGCTGCAGGACTGACCAGCCCAGTCACCAGACATGAACATCATGGAGCATGTCTGGGGTAGAATGAAAGAGGAAGCATGGAAGGCAAAACCAAAGAATCTTGATGAACTCTGGGAGGCATGTAAGACGCTTTCTTTGCTATTCCTGATGACTTCATCAACAAATTGTATGAATCATTGTGGAACCACATGGATGCGTCCTTCAAGCTCATGGAGTCATACAAGATATTAAATATGGATCTCACAGCACCACTACTTCATTCACTGACATTATGCAACATATTTTTGTGTTTGAAGTAAATTATTTGTTCAATTTTCTGTAGGCGACAAAACTTTTGTCTTGCCAAAATCTGACCTTTCTGTGTTCATTAAATGATCAATCTTTCTTCAGTGAAGCAAATTTATTTTAGTATATTGAGCATAATTTGGGAGGGTTTTAGCTTCATATGAGACATTTCTAAAACCAATCGATTAATTTAAAGTCAGGTTATAAGCTTTTGTTTCTACAAAGTGGATAAGAGACAAGACTTTTGTCAGGGACTGTAGTGTGTGGTTTTGAGGATTTTAGCATGAATAAAGACTGATGGCTCATTCTAACGTATTAAACATGCAAATATTTCAATTATTCACTGTACTGAGCATCAGTCTGCGGCTCTCGAACGGCCCTCTGCTTCGTCTGTGTTTAGATATGTGGCCCTTAATGAAAAAGTTTGGACCCCCCTGGTCTAAGGTTTCCAGAGATACCAAATATGTCTGTGTTTTAATAAAGTTCATGAGTGTGAAAATCATTTATAATCACTCGTGGAAGTCTGTTTTCTTTTATACAGTTATGCTCTGTGGGTAGCCCTAGAAATATATGTATGGGTTGTTCCTAGTAGGCATCCAAGGGGGAAAGAGTTAACAATATTACTCTAGATTTTGAACTGAAAAATTATGCCCCCTGCTGTCAACAAACTTCAGAGTAGATCCAGTGGAGGAGTTATTAAAGAGCCATTAAACAACGTCCCAAAACTTTACTCCGCCCCTAAACTAAATCTGAAAAATCCTCTGGAGCCTCTGCGCTCCAGACTTTGAAACGGAGCGGACAATTTCGGTCGGATCATGCCGCTTCCCTTTTCTCCAGACACAGCGGGACATCGTGGTGCCAGGTAGAGGTGGGGCTGAGAGGGCCTCCTCACGTACCGCCCACAGATGCCAGTGGCTGCGCTCGTCACGTAATAACCTTAATAACCTGTAATAACTGATTGGCGGCCATTAGTCTAACCCAAAAATGAAAATTCAAATGTTCTGGCCGTAGTTGATCCTAAAGAGGCCGTTACAGACACAGCTTTGACCCAAATGTCTGCACTAAATGCCAAAATAAGACCAGGGATAGATATACACTTCTATTTTAGACCCATTTACACAGTGAATCAGGAGAAAAAAAGGGATTTTGGTGTTTAGTGGCCCTTTAAACTAAGTGCTCTTTAAGAAATAATTTTCCATTATTTCTGGCAAGCACCATTTAGTAAACCATGTAAATACTATTTCTAGGTGCACTTTAAAGCTGCACTGTGTAACTTTTTGGTTGGGGTCCGTCACCTGCTTGTTTCTATGGAAATGTCATTTTTCTGGAATGTTCCACAGTGTGACATTAAACAGTTCTACTTTACATTTATTCACTCACAGGTGGTTTTAGGGCTCACAAATACCCACCTCTCCACAGACCTGACCTGTAACTTGGTCTGGTTTGGTCTCCATGAAGATAGGAAGGTTTAAAGCCACACTGTGACACATTCCAGACAAAGCAATAACATCTCCATGGGAAAAAAGCATTTGACGGATCCTCCACCAGAAAAGTTACACAGTGCGTCTTTAAGTCTATGTAAAATACTCACTTGTTCCCCTGATAAACCTGCTGCGTGAATTCACTGGTCCCTGTTACATCTGTCACAGAGATCGTCACGGTTACAGTTAAACATATGAAATAATCAGAACTGTAAAAGTAAATGTTTGTGTCCTTACCCGAGTGTCCATACGAGGTTATAGGATCAGTGCATGTTTGAGATGTGGGGCCTTCAGTCTCCGTCTGCTCCGGCTCTCCTAAAGATTCACAAATCAAATGGGTAAAATCAAATAAGTTCAAATACAAATACTACTGTAATTTCCAGACTATAAGCCACTACTTTTTTCTCACACTTTGAACTCTGTCTTATACAATAATGCAGCTTACGTATGGATTATATGTTTAACTATATACAAATTATGGATGCGTGTGCAGTTTGAGTGCAGAAAGCGCTGCTGTCCTGTCTGTGCGGACACTGCGCACATGATACCAGACAGGACAGCGGCTCTTTCTGCAGGAGACATGCGTAAAGTAAAGTAGAGCGCCAAGAGCAACTTTTGCTCAAGTCTGCCAGTGGATCCTGACAGCGTGGAGCCATGTGGAAAAAAAAACACACACACACAATCACCAACGGGTTTTGAAAGGCTGGACTGCTGCATGATGAAGAAGACAGCACACGCTCAAGGGAAAATGTGCCTCGAGAAGAAAGTGACACTGAGAGCGACAACGAATGAGACTGAGAAAGTGTGGAAGACATTCTGAGGCTGTTCATTTCCGACACTGAAGACGACGACTTCACTGGTTTCAGTGCACACGAGGAACATGAAGACAGTGATCAGTGACTTTTCTGGTAGGTGAAAATACCTACAGTAAACAAGTGAGGAGAGTTAATCAATTAATGAAGCTTAGTTTTAGCCACTTAAAATCTCCAACACAGTTATCAAGAGTAAACCATCACAGTTCTGTGAGATTGAGTTCAGGGGGTAACGTTTAAAGGGCCCATCTCATGTAAAATAACTCTCTTCACATTGTATCTTCTGCACATATACAAGCATTATTTGGGTTTTGGAACATCCATTACACAATAGTTCTGAAATCTTACTGATTTCTTGGAAGGCGTCACAGACCAGGAACTATGAAAGGCCGACTATTGCTCCTTCCCCCGCCCGTCCTGTGAAAGCACAGGCTCCGCCCTCCAAACGTGACGTAGGCGACGAGTGAGTCGCCCTTCCTCCGCCATCTCAGGGAGGGAGGGGGAGACAGACGTGCACCCTGATAGTGGTAGGAATAAACTTTTATTCATCATGGAGATACAGCGCGTTCAGACGCATGTGTTGGACTTGGAATCGGACGAGGACTTTGAGGAGCACAAAGCTCAAGCACCGCGTCCACATCAGCTGAACATTGGTAAAGTTTTAATAAACACTAGTAGATAAACTTATTATATCATGAGCTTATGCTGTCGCTTTTGTTTAGGTGTTCATGTGGGAATTGTCAGCCGATACGGGGTGGAGGCGGGGCGGAGGTGGTGGAGCGGGGGAGGGGGGCACGTGTGAAGCTCTTTCCGCTACATCAAACGCATCATAGGTGTAGCTGCCGCGTCATCGTTGTAGCAGCTTTAGTTTGTTGTCACGTGGGAGGGTGGCAGAAATATGCTGCAATTTGTAAAAAAAAAACACCGAATCAATCTAAAAACGACTTTGGCGACAAAAACAAAGCCCACACATTACTCTTAGAAAGCTCTGAAAAGTTGATTTTGCATGAGATGGGCCCTTTAAACTTTATTTTCAGTCTTCCAAAGGGTACAAGCTGGCCGTTTTACTGTTGTTTTACTGCCGTGTTACAGGGACTGTTCAGAAAAAGCAACTACTGGTATTTACAGTAATTAAAAATTAAATAAAATCTTTCTGTGCACCATCTTTCTTTGTAAATATCTCAAGTTACAATGTGGACACCTGCGGCTTATAGTCAAGTGTGGCTTGTACATGTACAATGTATGTTTTTTGTTTTTTTCTTTTAAAATTTGGTTGACGTGGCTTATATTCAGGTGCGCTCAATAGTAAGAGTAATACATAGTAATAATACCCGCTCATTCAAACTAGGAGTCAACCAGCTCTAAATCGGGATTCATAAGAGATTTGTGGAATTTTTGGGAACATTGAACCAAGAGGCGATTTCACAATAACAGAGCAAAGTCCCTATAATTCCCCAGTCCCTGTTTGGTCAGTGGAACCACCCAATCCCCCTTGGCCATAATATCTGTACAGAGTGGAATTATGATTAAAAGAGCCCATATTATGATATTTTCTGATCTATGTTATCATCACAAACAGACCTGGAGTTGTGTTTTGTTTCATTCACACTTACATATTATCGCCCTACATATTTAGGCTCAGCTCTTCTCTCAAATGAAAAACACTACTCCACCTTCACTGGAATCATTTGGATGATTTCAGCCTTGGAATTTTGTAACTCTACTCAAAAAAAGGTAAAAGGAGCTGTTAACTTGACAACTACCACTTCATGACATCACAAAGAGGAACAGAGCATTTGGAGCTTTGGAGATGCAGACAGACTAATAATAAAGAGTTACTCAAACATGTGTGAATGAAACAAAACACAACTCCAGGGCTGTTTTTGAGGAGGTCGCCACATTATAAAGGCTTAAAGCTCACATTTTGCGCAATACCTTTATACTCAATTATAACCACAGCTGCTTATGATTTGAATTACAATTTCCTAATAAAGAATTGTATTTTTAGAGCTGCTCTGTCCAAGTAAAAGCACTGTTGTACTTCCAGGTCTGACTAGAAAGTACCTGTCGTAGAGCAGGAGCTGAAAAAGTCCCCAAAATGTCGCCCCAGTCCCTTCCTACTCTGTGAACATGCAGTTTTTTTTAGTTGGAGATGCAACTAAAATAGGTTTAATGCATTGGATTTATATGAAGCCTATATAATCCACTTATATAATCCACTCCACACTCTGTCATAGTAGTCACAGCTGCCCTGGGACACAGATGGAAGTGAGGCTCCACATCTGCACCGACACACACACACACACACACACACGCGCAGACACACACACACACACACACACACACACACACACACACACACACACACACACACACACACACCCTCACCTGAGTCCAGAGCGTTGGACAGAGCAGAGTACGATGCCTCCTGTTCTGAAGAATCCAACACATCACCTGGACTTCTGTCTTCAGCTCTAAAGGAATATGAATATTTTTACACAGGGGAAGGGCATTTTATATGAATTTATACAATTTATATTTTAAAAAGCCTGACAAAATGCAATGCAAATATTCCAACTAGAAAAGCACTCAGAGAGCGCAGACCTCCGCCAAGGACTACAGTCCCCCTCATATTAATTGTGTTTTCCATAAATATTTGTCTCGTATCTTTCAATTTGGAATATGAAAGAGGATCCCATTGTCCATCCCTGAGTCAAATTTCATGGGGTTTGGTCAATAATTAACAGATATTGAGAAACAAAATTTTTGGCTCCATTTACCACAATGTTAACTAAAATTTCAAAGTGATCCAGAATCCAGGATTTCTTCCGGATCACCCCCAAAATGAAATCAGTTCTTCCTTTTCACCTTTCCAACAAATCCTGAAAATTTCATCAAAATCAGTCCATAACTTTTTGAGTTATGTTGCTAACAGACAAACAAACAAACAAACAGACAAACAAACAAACACCAGCAAAAACATAACCTCCTTGGCGGAGGTAAAATAATCTTACAATTATATGAAGAGAGAACTTTTGTAACACAAATCTTCTTAGAAATGTTTGACCCTCAGTTATGATTTAAACACACTACTGTAATTTGACTATCTCCAGTGTATCACCAGAAAAAAGCTGCTTATTCATGACCATCTCTTCTAGATCATTGTTGTTTTCACTTATAGAAAGTACAATACTTTAACAGTTGTTTAAATATAGGACTTATTCATAATATTAAAATAAGAATGATTAATTTCTCTAACATTTTTAAACTGTCAACAGCTTTATTCATTATTATTCTGATATAATCGTTAATCGAAGTTATTTTGGTCATGATCCTGGTGACACCTGATGTCATTCTCATATACGTCTACAAGAACATCATTAGCTGCAGCTTTAAACCACAGAACGCCTCCACAAACCTTGGTTGTTTTTCCAGAGCTGGGTCCAGGTCGAGCTTGGCCTTCTTCGTCTGAAAAGAAACAGAAAAGTCAATCACTCAATAAGATCACATCAGATTAGAGCCATGATTTTTCAGCCCATTTATGTAATGTATTTCCATTTTTGACAAATGTCTCTGGGTGCTTCAGTGGAAGGGAGGTAAGATATAAAGATAAAAGGAGTGTGATTTCATGCATTTTGGTGAGTTGTAAAGGGTTTTCAAAAAAAAAAAAAAAAAATGTTATTTTGACTGTGATGACAGTGGTAGTCTCTTGCTAGCCAATGATGAGAAATACAAACAGTGGAGAACTTTTCAAGGACAAAATATATTCTTTCAGCACATTTGGCCTCTTATTTCCTCTGCAGTTTCCATGTCTGGAAAACAGACAGGGTGCGTGGAAACCCTGCGCGTGTTTGGATTGTGGTTAAGATAAAGTGGGATGGATGTGTATCTGACCGGCAGCTCCTGGGTGTCATCCATCTTCAGCTCCGGTCACACGTCTCTCTCTCCTCCTCTCCTCGGACCCTGCTTCACACAACACCAAACGTCAACAACACAGCAGCTCTAACACCAGAAATCAAACAACAGAATACGCACAACTAATTTACACCAGTTATGATTAGATTCATCAACACAGATAAAATCAACTGTAAACTGTCACTGCATTATGGATGAATATTTTTGTATTGAACTTTTCTCCACAAACTGCCACTATGTCAGGCACTATCCACCAAACCAAGTCAGAAGCAGAAAAACATGAAAGCAGTATTAGTCATGTGCACTTCAGCACGTGAGTGATACTAACATTGATACTAACATTTCAAAGTCGATTCCGATACAAAAGAACTGACTCAATGCTCGATACCAATACAACAATGATGTTTTTTGGAGTAAAAGAATGTCATTTTCAACATAAAATAATAGTAATAATACAATTTTTACATTTTACAACTTGAATTTCCCTCAGGATTATAATCTGTCTCAGTATCTCTCTCTTTTTTAAATATTACACGTTATTTATATTGCACTTTACAAGGAAATCTTCAAGTGCTACAGCAGGTAAAGTAAAGAAGTCAAAGCTAAAAACTAATATGTAATAACAGAGTATGATCATAGGAAATATAGAATATTAAAATGGTAATAAAAACATTCATAGGCCTTTTGGAATAAAAATGTCTTTAAATCTTAAATAGTTGCCATGAGATTTTATACTGGTTCTGACAAAACTTAAAAAGACACAAAAAATCGTAGAAAAAACCTCAAGTTTAGTCCCGTTAATGTAACTTTTTTGGTATCAACACCTGCTCAAATGTGTATCTAGTTTCGACATTAGTTTTAGTATTGATAAAAATCTAATTTTCCATACTTTGACAACCCTACCTTGCACGAGTCAGATATTTTCAGTCCTTTTGTTTGCTCCTGTCTGCTCCAAATCGAACTATCCCCAATATTGAAGAAATTACCTCGTCCTTCAGCTCGCTCTCTTTTATAACCCCATCCTCTGCCCTCTCTCTCCTCCCTCTGCCCCCAAAAACCTACAATCTGCCCCCGGCTCCTCCGTATCACCCGGGGGCATCAGGAAACCCACTAATCCCCGGCACAAAAGCCTCACGTGGGGTACTGACGCTCCCGATGGCCCCCCTCCTCCGGTTCACCTCGGCGAGATAAGCCAAGCGTGCAGACTTACATGCACTAGCCCATATTCAGAGTATTAGTGATATCAATAGGCGGGATAAGATCTAACCTGGTTTAGCGGCACGTTTAGGCGACAGGCACAAAAACAGCTAAAGTAGGTCGCTCGGAGGAGAGGAGCACGGACGTGTGAGGAGAGGGGAAATTAAAAAAGGTGTAAATAAGAGAAAGAAGAGAATTAGCGGCGTATAATGGGGACTTATGCAAGGTTTACACAAGCGAACGGATTCTACCGAAATAATGGTATGTTAAAGGTCAAGTGTGGAGGAAGTTAACCTACTTCAGGCCAATCTGAGCTGGAAGAGAGTAGTGCTGTCACGTTACTAACAGTTCAACTCAGAAATAGATTAGACTAAGGATTAAAACGCCACGATGATAATAAAAAATATATATATTCTTTAATATGACAATAGAAAGTGATTTTCCACATTAAATAGTAATACTTTCTTTTCTATTCCCATGTGTTTTATACAGTCCCTGACAAAAGTCTTGTCGCTTATCCATTTTGTAGAAACAAAAGCTTATAACCTGACTTTAAATTAATCGATTGGTTTTAGAAATGTCTCATATGAAAGATAAAACCCTCCCAAATTATGCTCAATATACTGAAATAAATTTGCTTCACTGAAAAAAGATTGATCATTTAATGAACACAGAAAGGTCAGATTTTGGCAAGACAAAAGTTTTGTCGCCTACAGAAAATTGAACAAATAATTTACTTCAAATACAAAAATATGTTGCATAACGTCAGTGAATGAAGTAGTGGTGCTGTGAGATCCATATTTAATATCTTGTATGACTCCATGAGCTTGAAGGACGCATCCATGCGGTTCCACAATGATTCATACAATTTGTTGATGAAGTCATCACAAATAGCAAAGAAAGCGTCTTACATGCCTCCCAGAGTTCATCAAGATTCTTTGGTTTTGCCTTCCATGCTTCCTCTTTCATTCTACCCCAGACATGCTCAATGATGTTCATGTCTGGTGACTGGGCTGGCCAGTCCTGGAGCACCTTGATCTTCTTCACCTTGAGAAACTTTGATGTAGAGATAGAAGTATGTGATGGAGCACCATCCTGCTGCAAAATTTGACCCCTTTTATGGTTGGGAATGTAAGAGGAGCTAATACTTCTTAATATTTTAGGCTATTGATATTTCCTTCCACCCTGCAAATGTCTCACACACCCCCAGACTGGATGTAACCACAGACCATGATTTTTCTGCCACCAAACTTAACTGTTTTCTGGGTGAATCTTGGATCCATGCGGCTCCAGTAGGTCTCCTGCAATATTTGCGGCGGCTGTGATGTAATTCAACCGAGGATTCATCTGAGAAATCCACCTTCTGCCACTTTTCCAGTGTCCATCCTTTTAGCAGGCTGTGGGCCTTGGCAAATGCCACACGGTTTTTTAATTGCCTTTTGTTTAGTGCTGGTTTCTGTGCACTGATTCGACCATGGAGGCCATTTCGAGACAGAATTCTACAAACTGTTGTGGTTGACACAGGGACTTGAGGTGACCAGGCCTGGTGGAGTCTGCTGCAGTGGAAAAGGGGCCTTGGATTTTCGAATCAACAAACGGTCCTCCCGAGCAGTTGTCTTGTGGGGTCTGCCAGACCTGGGCTTGTCAAAAACATCTCCAGTCATTTCAGATCTTTTTCTTATTCTTTGTACTTGACGCTGAGACACATTGAAGGTGTCACCACCTCAGCAGTGGATCTGGTCTTCAGCCTCTTGATAATTAACACTTTGGTCTCAGGGTGGATCTTAGGCATGTTGTCAGAGGTCAAGTTGCAGTTGATGTGAAGGTCTGGTGTGCTGGGTTCTTTTTATACACACCCACTAATTGATTGATCAGTAACTGATCACAGGTGAGGCTGTAATCTAGGATTGGGTGCATCATATGACAAGGCCACAAGACTTTTGTCTTGCCAAAATCTGACCTTTCTGTGTTCATTAAATGATCAATCTTTCTTCAGTGAAGCAAATTTATTTTAGTTTATTGAGCATAATTTGGAGGGTTTTAGCTTCATATGAGACATTTCTAAAACCAATCGATTAATTTAAAGTCAAGTTATAAGCTTTTGTTTCTACAAAATGGATAAGCGACAAGACTTTTGTCAGGGACTGTATGTTAGGGCTGGGTATCATTAAGAAGTTACCGATACAATACATACCTCGATACACAGGCCACGATACGATACATATCTCGATACAGTGCACTTTTGATTTGATATGATATATTTCAAATCGATTCGACACGGTTCAATAAAAAATAAAGTCTAAATCATGGCTGTGATACTAAAGTCTTTGTTAAACCACTTCTTGTGCAAAGTTCATATGAAACACAAACATTTTAATCATCAAAACAGTGAAAATGTCAAATGTGTTGCATAAATGAGTTTCCTTTCACTCCACAAGCCACCAAACTGTGGCACTGTAACAAAATAATTGAGTAATCATCATTCTAAACCTCTTCAGAAAAGCTTAATTTCTGTCCTGTCAATGGCACTTTTTTTAGTATCGATACCTGCAACAAATGAGGATCTAGTTTCAATACTAGTATCTGATTTGTGAAACTTTGACAACCACAGTAGAGATTCAGAATGGAAAATAATCCATGAACATAGAGGGATACATGGATATTAGATGAAATAGATTGATAGATACCAATATTAAATTTGAGTCTGCAGGAGAGACGGGGCCCATTTAGATGAACTTCCTGCAGCAGAAGAGACAGTGCAGATCTAACGGCCAACACTGTAATGCTGCAACTGATGACTGTGAAAGTGATTAAGTGATATTGAATACATTTATACATTTTACATTTAAGTGATGCTGTTAGACTCTTCATTAGAACACGCACTTTACACGTTTCTGTTTCTGACTTTTTGACTGTTTTCATATCCATATTGAAAAGATGAAAATGGTAAAAATGTGTTTGTACTTGAACGGCACAAAAATCACTAACTTTTTTGCCAGTGCCTCATGAGATCTACAGTATTTTTCAGAGTATAAGTCGCACTTTTTTCATGGTTTGGGTGGTCCTGCGATTTCAGCGTGAGTAATATATTAAAACTGACACAATGACAGCCACGAGAGAGAGCTCTATTCTCTGCGCATGTCTCCTGCAGAAAGAGCTGCTGTCCTGTCTGGGATCACATCAGTCAATTGCACCCCCACTTCTGTACCACTGAAAATTTTAAATTTAAACAAACTTATAAAGACAACCAAAACCATCCTGTCGGGATACAGAAAGGTCGGAATAATTTTAACTGGAACTGATGCTGACTCTGACGACGGATACACAGAAGAGGAAGCGGAGCTCTGTTTACCCCCAGAGGTCTCGAGGCCGAGTTGCTCAGAAGTGACACTGAGGATGAAGAGTTGAATGGATTTAGTGATTTGGAGTGAGATGGAGAGTTTGGTAAACTTGTTCTGTTGTTTATGTTATAGTTATCTGAAGAACTGTGAAATATGTGACAGTTACATATTGTTAACAGTTCTCTCTTCTATTGTCATTACTATAATTTGACATTCAAGATGAAATGTCAGTTCCTGGTCTCTGATTTTATAAAATAAGTTTACCCCAAAAAGTGTGACTTATAGTCCGGTGTGACTTATATATGTTTTTTCTTCTTCATTATGCATTTTTTGGCTGGTGTGACTTATACTCCGGAGCGACTTATATGGAAAAATACGGTAATTCGCCAATGGAACATTTTATTGGCTAACCCAATAATCTGGTCGGGCCTCAGTATTGATACCTGCCCAACTTAGTACTTAGATTCAATACTAGTTATAGTATTGATTAAGGCTGTGCGAAGTCTATTTGATTATGACTCATGTAGACCTCCATCTTAACATTGCCTTTAAGACAGAAATATAGTCAGCTGCTCCTCTTGACAATTCACACTTCTCTGATTGGTTAAATCCACCTGTCACTCAGTCAGAGCCATACTGCATAAAGAATTGCACTAAGGGAGTGTGATGGCGCCCACAGAGTTCAGCTACAGTCAAATGAAGCTCACTGAGGCTTGTAGTTATGAGAAAGAAAGAAGAAAGAGGGTGAGGAAAGCCTCTTAATGTGAGTTTAATAAAACAGAGGCACTTAATAAGAATATGCTGATGTCTCTAAAATAGCAGCTCACCACAGGGATGAGATCACCAATAAATTTTGATCACCATATTGTATTGATTAGTATCTGAGTTTCCCTTTTAGACAAACCAAAGAGACAGTGCATTTTTTGGCACCTCAGAAGTTCAATAGATGATGGCTTTGTAAATTATCCACCTTGATGTATTCTCCTTTCATAACAAAACAGGTTTGTTTCGTTCACTCAAGTTAAATCCTTCTGCTGCTGAGTCTAACTGAGCTCAACCACACTTTCCATGTCACCCTGTAACAACTGTCAATACAAGCAGATCAGTTTACTTATGCAAAGTAGCCATGTGCTTTTACAGTCACTTGTTTTAGACTCATCCCTGACTGAACACTTTAGGTTGAGGGTCATTTATTCTGAAAGTCAGAGCAAACAAATCATATTCAAATGATCCTATAATAATGTTAATCCATTAGAAAAATCACATTGTGGCTAATGGTACTATTCAAAAATGACTGCTTAAAGTTTATATAATGTCAAGATATTATGCCATGCAAATTGTAAGAGATAAAACTTATAAAGTAAATAAAGATATACATGATCAGTGTCACCATAGTTTTACAAAAATGTGAAAAACTGCTTTGTCAGACTCAAAGTTATAATGGTATATTGAGACTGTAACACGCATTTAAGCACTTTAGAGCCGTGTTTTCTCTCTTCATCTGTCATTGGTCAAGCCTCATAAGAACACAATGAACCAAAGCAAATGTCCATCCCCTGTCTGTCTGTCAACAGCTTTCCCCCGGCTAGCTCTGGAGGGGAATTTTTACTGATTTACAAGAAATCAACAACTTTTAAAATGTGAAATGTAGTAAAGAAGCTGACAAAACGTGGATCCAAGCAATAACACGTTTAATGGATGAGTAACTAGCGCACGTTCCCAACAATCTCCAGACTAAACAAGTGTCTGTAGCATTAGCACGTTAGCATTCCCGCTACCCAAGCAAGATTGTTCCACAAAATCGTCACAAAACTCGAATTTGAAGCAATCGATGACATTATTGATAGATCGAATGAAAAGGTGTACGTTATAAAACACTGCAAATGAGCCTTGGGAAGTACTTGATATTAAATTTGCTGTGGTTTTAAAGTTTTCTCAGCCCAGAAAAAGTAGTCAGGCCCCGCCGCCATAAACAGCGGCTGCAGAAATGCTAGCAGCGTGCTCATGCTAAGCTACGGCCGTGCATCAAAACTACTCCGAAAACGAGCCCGTAAAAGTGGATAAAAGTCTTACCATTGAAGGAGAAAGCGGTATCCGGGTTAAATTACGCGTCCCAAGTTTAGTTTATTGTGTAAAAGCTTTGACTGTTGTTTAGGGGATGTGTTTTGCAGGAAGCTAGCGGCGTTTCCCTCTGCGCATGCGTAGTGAGTTACAGAGATCATTTCGGGAGAGATTTCCAACCCCTTAAATAAAATATAAATTATACTCAGTGTTGGGGAGTAACAGATTACATGTACCGGCGTCATGTAATTAGATTACAAATTATGAGTAACTGTATTCAGTTACAGTTACTGTTTCAGTGAGTGGTAATTGGATTACAGTTACTTTGTTAAAATAAATGGATTACACAGCGGTATTTACCTGTTTTCACATTTTGGACGAAACTAGGACTACCAGGACTAAACCAGAACTAAACCAGGACTAAAACCAGACTTAAAACCAGGACTAAAACCAGGATTAAACTAGGACTAAAGTAGGACTAAAACCAGAACTAAAACCAGGTGTAAACCAGGTCTAAAACCAGGACTAAACTAATACAATATGACACCTAACAGTAGGGTGGACATAATTGTGATCTCATATAAATATAATTTCTCTATCAATAATATTTTTAATATGGTCAAATAAAGACTGAACAAACGTGAATTTTCAGGATGTGGATGTTACATTCATGTCAATATCAAGTAATCCAAAGTATTCAGATTACGTTACTCACTTTAAGTAATTTAATGGATTACGTTACAAACTACATTTTGGGGTATGTAATCTGTAATCTGTAGGGGAATACATTTTAAAAGTAACCCTCCCAACACTGATTATACTTACGCATAGATGTACTATATTATATTTTTATTGTGTTAACTAAATATTAGTTTACTTAATATTTAAATATACAGTCCACATCTGTACGTTAAATGTTATACTTTCAGGTTTGAGTGAATAAATTCGGGTATTTCCAGAGATTATTTTGAGATTATATACATATTTTGTGATTTTAGCTAATCAGTCAACTGTTTACACATTTAGTTTCAAATTTTGCCAAATAATAATGCATAAAAAACGAAAATTGTGCTGAACTGTTCTTATGAATTGTTTTTCAGTCGATGTAAAGGGCGGAATCTCCCCTCATGAAGCGGGTCTCTGTGTGACGAGAAGCGACAGGTGTCCGTGCGTCAGTCCGTGCGTCAGGCGCAGGTACAGCTCATAAAAAACATTTGTCTTTTTAAACAGGTGCACATTCCTCACGGTCCTGTCTCCCAAGGTTAAAGTTCAGTAATGTGGCTTTAACAGTTCGTTGTGTATGAAAAATAGGCCTATAAGACACTATTGTATTAGTCATGGGTTTCAACTTCCTGTTATATGCAACATTTTCCCATTCATTATGTACTGTAATATTTTGTTGTTAATCGCTATGGCAAAGGTCCCAGAATTTTTTGAAACGCACGGAGAGTCTGCATGTATCAAAAAAGGCACACAATGGCGCTATCTGGTGGTGAAAGAGCATTTTGCAAAAGGCGAGCTTTTAGTTTAGAGATCAGATAATAAGAACTTGGAACAAATGTGTGGAGAATTCATGTTATTTTATTACAACACATATTAATAATAATTCTATATCCCCTGTGAGGATTGTCATTGTTTTGCCTAGAATTTTCCACAACAGGGCATAAAGTTCTTTCGAGACGAGACAGACAGCTCACACCATCAGGTCAAGTTACAGGTCAGCTCTGTGGAGAGGCGATAAAATACCTGTAACTAAATAAATGCAAGATAGATACAGTTAAAGCCAAACTGTGGAACATTCCTAGCCTGATTCATCAGCCGGTTTCACTTCGTAGAAACCGTCTCACCTTGCAGTGTTAGGATTTATTTGCTTGGCAGTAGGCAGGTACTTTTTATCATTTAACCAATCGCTGCTATTTGGTAGTTATGTATGGAATGCACCACTAACGAGGCTAACTGGTATATTAAGCTTTTCTCAAATTCTGTAGGAAGAAGGACAGTAACGTCTTTCCCCTTGATAAAATTCACCAAACATTCTCTTTGTTCCGGCTTTAAATCCTCGATCTCGGGAATCATTGACAACACTGAATGTCTGGCTGTTCACTGATTGGCTGGTTCCTGAACACTTCCGGGGTTTTTGCAAACAGTCTAGTATATTTTGATTCCTGACCAAGTTGCTGGAGAGAAATGAAGTTGAGTGGAGGTCCTAGGTGGCACCAGCCAGGCATTAAAGCTCTATAGAGGCGAGACAAACAGCTCGCACCATCAGGTCAAGTTACAGGTCAGCTCTGTGGAGAGGCAATAAAATACCTGTAATTGAAAAAAATGCAAGATAGATACAGTTTAATGCCAAACTGTGGAACATGCCAGGCAGAGTAATGGCATGTCTCATGGCAGCGGAGTGATCGCCTTTGTGGCTACCTGGCTCACACTGAGCAGTTGTCAAAACTTTTCATTTGAGCTCAGTGTTTAACATCATATGATGGGAGATTAACCATCTCGTATTTGGTAGCAGAAGACCTTCAGAGGAAATACTCTGAGGGAAAGAACACGAGGGGCTGTTGGATTGTGTGAAAGGCATTGTGTTTGCATGGAGACTGTGCAAGAAGCAGATGAGATGTTACAGGATTGTTACAACACATGTGGCAGTAAATGTGGAAGAAGATCTTCTAGAGCACAGGTGTCAAACATACGGCCTGGGGGCCAGATCCAAGAACTTCCAAGAACTTTAATCTGGCCCTCGGCTGATTTTCTACTAAAATATTTTAATGATATTTTCTATTAAAATCTTGTTAATTTTCTGTGGTGTTTATCACAGCAGCGTCTCCAGCGTCTCTGTACGTGGCCCCTCCCACCAGAGCAGCACAAATGAAGACTTGTCTCTTTCCAAACGCTCTTAAAGGACGATCGTTTTGACTGTTGACCGTGACACCCTCATCAGAAAAATGTCCAACATGAGAAAAGTGGAGCCGAGTGCAGGATTTTCCAAGAAAAATTGACTTATTCCTATTTACATACAAGTTAATGTTCAAACATTGTGTTGAAGTTGCATTTTTCTTAAAGTTTCAGGTTGTTCATAATATTGTAATATTTTGTAAAAGAAAGAGTTCATCAATTAAAAAAGGTTTCTGTAACAGATTTGTGTTTCTCTGCACAAATATTTGAACTTATTGTTATTTTTGGGGTTTATATGACATGAGTTTTCTGATCCGGCCCCTTTGGGATCAAAGTAGGTTGGATACGGCCCCCGGACCAAAAGGAGTTTAACACCCCTGGACTAGAGGAAACACTATGAGGGAATGAACCATCACCAACCTCCTTTTGAACTGAACTGAGATTTGAGTGTGGCACAAAGGACACTGTTGCTGCAATAAAACTTTCTCTCAAAATTTCCCTCAGGATCAATAAAGTGTCTCTCTCTATTCCCCATGGATTCTCTTCTATGGAAAAAGAAAATTAAAACCGTACTTCGAATCATCCTCCAAGGAGATAGATATGTTTTATCCCATACTCTGGAATATAAGAGTCAATTTGGGGAGATGGAAGCCTCCTCATAGTAAGGACGTGTATTTTTCAAAGTTTTTCAGTGCAATAAACACAACCAAAATGCACAAACATGCTTTTATAGTAGTCTGTTAGTCTATTTCTTTGGCTAAAAAGTTACACTGTGGCTTTAAACTACTAGTTAAAGTTGTCTATTTAAAAAAAAAAAAAAATCAGGTAAGACTGAAATTCATGTTTAGACTTTTTTATTTTTCACCATTCCTGACACAGACTTTACAGATATTTCCGATGATCATGTCAACTCATTTACACAAAATCGAAGGAAATAAATAAACAAAAATACAATAATATTTTCAAGACCCTCCCAAAAAAATCTGGAAGAAAACTGTGCGTAGTTCATCAGCAGGCGTCAACGTTTAAAAACCTAAAAACGTTTAAACACGGGGTCAGATTTCGCATTTCATAATTAATATTTTCATTATATATTACAAGCTATAGTTAAACGTATATATATATTATTTTATTGCACTCTCTCGCAGCATTCAACACAGACGTTTAGTGACTGCGCCCCCTAGTGGTTCATCAGGATTCACCATTTCTTAAAGCGACAGTCCACCATTTTGAGTAAAGATAAAATGTGTAGATGCAGTGAAAGTTTCTAAAATTTGGGTGTTGGAGGAGCAGACAGTTGGGAGATTTTTTTCTTTTTTTTTATATTATAATTTCATGCAATATAATCAGGATTTGGATAAAATGTTAAATTAGATTACACAGAAATTTCCAAAGCTTTAAAATTATATTCTATTTATCCAAACTTTTTTTTTTCTTGTAATAATTTTTGTTTGGATTTTTAATTTTTTTTTCAATTTGATTACTTCCACCTGTCTTTTTCTCCCATATTAAATCACATTTTTAGCATCTTTTTACCACACAAAATGGCAGATTGCATCTTTAAACAACACAAGACTTTAAAGGAATTCGTTACATCAAGGAAAACCAGATACGCACATCCTCCGACAGGCACGAAACATCACGGATCCTCTCTACGACATGATGCAATACAAAAATAACCTGTTTCTCGATTCGTATATTTTAACAGCGGTCAGTGAAATGCATACAGCTTGTGCTACTGTCGTTATTATTGCTGGTTCATTACGTTCTGTACATTAAAGTTAAAGCAAACGTCGATATTTCTACACAGTACCATTGTTAAAAGTTTGATCGATCTGTGAGGAAAAAAAAAAACAGCAGGAAAAGCAGCGCTGTGTTGGTCCAAGCTTAACATCAAGTATTATTATAAAACAGATATGAATGTACAGATACAAGTTGTGTAATAAAAAACGGCCAAATTTTGTAACATAATTTCAATAAACTTACACTTTTGTACTTATTTTTGTATTTAAACGTCGCAATTTGATATAGAATTGTACACAGAAAAATGTATAGAATATTTTGCACCAGATTAGAATATATTTTCAAGTAAATCTTAAACCTCTTTGCCACACAGTGCAAAATGTAGCTTCAAGTATTGTTTTTTATTGTATTTTTTGATAGAAACACAACTTTTTAGACCAGTAGAAAATATTTTGAAAGGAAATTAAGTTAAGTAATAATGATGATTTTGGAGTAAATATAACAATCTATATAATTTGTCCATTCGTTTTAGTTCAGGGTTTAGCTTTAAAGAGAGGATATTTTACTTTTTTTTTTAACTTAACACAAACATGCCTGAAGAGTTTTTAGATCCATGCATGTTTAAGATGAGGGAACAATGTTATAACACGTTAGAAAGCTCCAAAACGTCAAATTTGCATAATCTTGAAATCCTCTTTAAAGCAGATAGAAGCAGCTGTAACAGAAACCACACGATTCATTTTTCTGCGAGTGCAAAAACAAAACATTTCAAACTCGGTGCAAGAAAAGGCCCTTGGATCGCCACAAACTTTTGATGATAAGTCGATATTTGAGTCGAAACTTTCCAAACTCTTGTCTGTATGAACTGCCTTCAGAACTCGAGGCACTTTCCTTTTGATTCTTTAGTTTAAACTTGAACAGCTGCTGCAGTTGGCACAGAGAAAGAGAGAAAGAGAGGGAGGAAGAGAGGAAGAAAAGAAGAAAAAGAGTGAGAAAAAGAGAGAGTGAAATCAGGAGTTTAACATAAAGAAAAGTGATATCCAGAGATAAACTGTTTAAAGAGGTGTTTTTTCCACCAAACAGCATTTCAGGGTATATCATTTTATTTCATTAATTGATTGATTTGTTTGTTTTTATGTGTCAAAAAGGGAATGGCCAATCATTGCCAATGGATTTTCTGATCAGAATTGTAAGATAATAATATGCATGGGAGCAAACTTTCTGATTCGTGTGCTTTTTGTTAAATTCAAATCCAAACTGATGAAGATTTGCCTTCTGAAACTGAGCCTGAGCCTTGTCCATGCTGCTTGGTGGAATCACTCTTTTCAAAATAATAAATTGTCTTTTTGAAATCACATCTCCTCGTTGTAAAAATCTGGAGCGGTTGAAATTGGTCCCAAAATCGTTCCGGGCCGTACACTTCAGTCTTTTGTTCATGTTCTAGTTTTGAAGCAGTTTTTCGATAGAGTCTTTGAAAAGTTGTGTTTTTATTTCAGACAAAGTGGGAGTGCTCAAAGGTGTGGCCCTCCGGTGGTCCGTACGAGAATCCGGGGAAGGCTCCGGCTGCCTCCCGCACAGAGCTGGTCAGGTGCAGAGTGTCCGTGCTCAGGGATGAAGACACAGGGAGGTGGGTGAACTCTGGGTCAAAGTGCTGCAGGTCTGTGGGGCCAGACTGAACGAGACAGAAGAGAACATGAATATAAAATCAATCAATATGATTCATGAAGAGATAAACTAAGAGAAGAGGATCTCACAGGTTTTAAAGAGGGGCTTGTGCTTTCATCATTGCTCCAATATTAAATATCATAATATATTAAGTAAATTCTGCATACGTCAAGAATCAGTCGTTGTCTCCCAAAATAGACATTTTATTTAGGCAGTATATAGTGAGGATTATCCTTTTAAATAGAATATCTGAATGTTAAAATCAGTACAATACTCTGTATGCAAAGTATGTAAATGCTATTAGTTTTGTTTTTAATTCAGTGTTTTTGTACTATAGTACGTACACAAGTCAAATGTACTCATATTTCAAACTCCAGTGAAGAGTTTAGCCAAATCAAATTTAATGCTTCAGGTTCAAATTTAATCAAACTGATGCCTTTTAAGGCCTAACTTCTGATTTAATCCATTTAAAGCCTTTCAATAATGTAGGTACTTCATACTCACCACAGAGGGCAGAAATGGGGGCGTGATCTTTTTGGCCATGAGGTCGTCCCAGTTTATGGGTGAGAAGAACGAGTGGTACTTCAGCTCCAACTACACACACACACAAACACACACACACACACATTAGCATCAGCATATGAACAGTATAAGAATATACACAGACATATCATGAACGGGACAATATCTGATGTATTGTATACAAGTTCTGTACTCACAAAGTCATCCTTGGAGCCCAGCCTCTTGCTGCGTTCCTTCTGCAGAAGTCCTTCCAGAAGGTCTCGTCCTGCGTTGGACACGTTGGGCTTCAGGACTGGAGATTTGTGCAGGATGTTGTTGTACATCTCAGCCGTGTTCCTGCTGTAGAACGGAGGCTGAGGACACAGAGAGAGAGTTTAGAAGGAGGACAGTGAGGAGGAGGGAGAAGAGTCTGATGTTAACATGGTTTAAACACTGGATTAGATCCTCACCAGTCCATAGAGCATCTCATAGAGCACAGAGCCCAGACACCACCAGTCCACCGTGCGGTCGTACGCCTGTTTCTGCAGCACCTCTGGAGCCAAGTACTGAGGAGGATTAACACAAACACGTATTAGTTTACTTTATCTTACTCTGTACACCACCTGTCAGACCAGCACACCTGTCTGACAGGTGTAACTCTCTGACCAGTGCTTTGTTAGTATCTCTTCATGAATGTAGGTTTAGTGTATGAGTATGTGTAAGTGTACACATCTGCAGAACAATCATTAGAGCATAATTGATTTTTAAATTGCCCTTTGGAGTTCCACAGAAGGTTGATGTGTTTTTGTATGTGTTTTGTTTAATATTGTGCTGATTAGTTCTAAAGTCCCACAGAAGGTGGAGGTGTGTTAGTGTGTGTTGTACAGTGATATACAGTAGTTAGAGTTAAGAGTTGTAGTACATATTTACCTCTGGAGTCCCACAAAAGGTGGAGGTGGTCCCGTTGGGCTCCAGTCCTTCTTTACACAAACCAAAGTCGGTCAGAACGATGTGTCCCTGAGAGTCCAGCAGGATGTTCTCTGGCTTCAGGTCCCTGCGGTCACACACGTTGTTGATCAGTGAGTGTGAGAAGAACACGGTGAACAGTTCAATCTGCTCCTCCTTTATTGACCTTAGGACTGTTTCACTGTTTGACTGAATTGAATGCGACTGTATAAAAGTGTTCAGAAGGCAGTGTTTGTTTTTCATAATAGCTTCACTAAATCGTAACAGGTACAGTTAGGCTTGTTATGCCTAACATGTCCACCAGGGGGAGCTCTTAACCCATTTTGAGTTAGGATATTGTCTGAAGCTTTTTGTTGAACTCTCCTTTTCTTCCCTGTTTGACGTTTATCAGTAGCAGCATAAGAACCACATACATGAAGTGACACTACACAGATGTTGTAGACGTAGAGGCTCACCTGTAGACGATGTGCAGGGAGTGCAGGTAGCCCAGCGCAGAGGCGATCTCAGCCGCATAAAACCGAGCTCTGGGCTCCAAGAAGATTCTCTCCCTCTGAAGGTGGTAAAACAACTGAACAAAACACAAAAGAGGGGAGACTTTAATACTGACATCACAACAGTATGTCCCTGTGTGTCAGATGCCCTCCCTGTGTGTTTGTGAGGTCTTATTCTGTGTTGAAGCTGCTCACCCTGTAGTTGAGACCTCTATTAACATGTTTTAAAATGTGAATGCTGGATGAAATGAGTGAAATAAATCATGGTTTTAAAAGGTAAATTGACCAATTTATGTCAATATCTATAATCTGTATCAGCTCAGTTCACATTTCTATGTATTCATTGGTCAAAAATATGTGTGTACATACAGTTATGTCTTGTAATAGTTCTAGTCTCACCTCTCCTCCGTTGACGTAGTCCAGGACAAAGTAAAGTTTGTCCGTGGTTTGGAATGAGTAGTGCAGTCCCACGAGGAATGGGTGTTTGATGTTCTTCATGAGGACGCTGCGCTCGGCCATGATGTGCTTTTGCTGTCAAACAACAACAAACAGACAGCGTGTCAGATATGAACACAATAACATACTGTACACCCACATCAGATAAGACATCACTCATACAGTACTGTTTTTACCACGCACGCAGGAAGAAGCCTAATCTGCATTCTTGTGTACGCACACTGATTGTGCCCTTCCTGACACGATCAGCCAAATACGGACATTTAAGACTTTATTATAGTCTCTTTTTTGGAAATATTTTACACCTGGTTTAGTCCTCGTACAGACCTGGTACAGACCTGGTATAGACCTTGTATAGACCTTGTATAGTCCTGGTATACACCTGGTTTAGTCCTGGTATAGTCCTGGTATACACCTGGTAAAGACCTGGTATAGTCCTGGTATAGTCCTGGTATAGTCCTGGTATAGTCCTGGTATAGACCTGGTATAGACCTGGTATAGACCTGGTATAGACCTGGTATAGACCTGGTATAGTCCTGGTATAGTCCTGGTATAGTCCTGGTTTAGTCCTGGTATAGACCTGGTATAGACCTGGTTTAGTCCTGGTATAGACCTGGTTTAGTCCTGGTATAGACCTGGTGTTCAGTTCTATTTTAGTTCGTGTTTAGACTTGATTGTTTCAGATCTAGTTTAGTCTTGTTATAGACTTATTATAAAGCAGGTTTTAATCTCTTGATCTCTGCTGCCAACTTAGAAAATATTAAACTCCAAATATAAACGTATATAAATATCATGAATAATTCATTTGTGACTTGCTCACCTCTTTCTTCTTGAGAATAATCTTCTTTTGCAGGACTTTGACGGCGTAATATTTGGTGGATTCTTTGTGTCGAGCCAGAAGAACCTTCATAAAAACAAACATCAGACTTGTTCAAACAGGATTCAAACTGCGCTTCAGGCATTCAAGCTCCAAAAATACCGGCTCCTGTTGATTTGCATGTGAGCCCTGACATACTGACAAAGGAAGCTGTGTGAGAGCTTAAGTTCAGTGTGCTGTGTGATCACGGAAGTACTGTACATACACACAGTTTATATTTGAGTATTTTTTGTACTTTTTCCATGAATTACTCTTAATAATATAAAAATAGCATTAAGTATCATAGAGGTAAACTAATTTAAATGTACCTTTCCAAAGCTGCCTTTCCCGATGATTTTGAGGTAGTCAAAATCACACGGTTTGATCCTGGAACACAAAAAGAAAAGATACAGTAAGTCTTCAGACACATTCAAATAAAAAAGACAATTCTGCTACATGTTTAAAGTGTATATGATAGACTAAAGTGCATCTGGTTTAGTCCCATATGCAGTGTGGTTTAGTCCTAGTTTAATCCTGGTTTAGTCCTTAGTTTAGTCCTGGTTTAGTCCTTAGATTAGTCCTGGTTCAATTGTAGTTTGGCCCTTGTAAAGTTCACACGTTAGTCCCAGGTTTAGTCCCAGGTTTAGTCCCAGGTTTAGTCCCAGGTTTAGTCCCAGGTTTAGTCCCCCATTTAGTCCCCAGTTTAGTCCCCAGTTTAGTCCCCAGTTTAGTCCCCAGTTCGGTTTAGTCCTCGGTTTAGTCCCCAGTTTTGTCCTGATTTAATCCGGTTTAGTCCCCGATTTAGTCCCCGATTTAGTCCTCCATTTAGTCCCCAGTTCAGTTTAGTCCCCAGTTTAGTCCTCATTTAGTCCCTGTTTAGACACCATCTTAGTCCCAATTTAGTCCCCAGTTTTGTCCTGATTTAGTCCTGTTTTGTCCTCGGTTTAGTCCCCAGATTAGTCCCCAGTTCAGTTTAGTCCCTGGTTTAGTCCCCAGTTTACTCCCCAGTTGAGTCCGCAGTTGAGTTTAGTCCTCAGTTTAGTCCCCAGTTTTAGTCCCCAATTTAGTCCTGGTCTAGTCCCCAGTTCAGTCCCCAGTTCAGTTGAGTCCCCAGTTGAGTTTAGTCCTCAGTTTAGTGTCCAGTTTAGTCCCGGTTTATTCCCTGGTTCAGTTTAGTCCCTAGTTTAGTCCCCAGTTTAGTCCCGGCTTTAGTCCCGGCTTTAGTCCAGACTTACTGTGTCTCTTCGGCCAGGGAGCTGCGTGAGGCGAGGTACCTCTGAGGAGAACACAGGACATTAGATTAGTGATGAAATTGTGTTTCCATAACTCGATTGTTTTGGTTAAATCATGTTACGGTAACATCATATTTTGTGTGAATTATTTCTGTACCGGATCAGGAAGTTCGCCTCGCTCCATTTCCTCATTCTGGTTCTCGTCGATCTTCAAGAAGTTATTCACCTCCACACTGCGAAACAAAAAGACAAACACGCTTAGAAATTGGGGCGAAACTGAGTAACAATAAATTTAAAATAAAAGTGTAACATTTCATACACTGCACCCAGGTTTGTCAAATAATGTATTTGATATTAACAATGCTGATAAGCAGTTTGTTTATTCAAATGTTAAGTGTGAACCCTCTGCTCCTCTGATCATCTCCTCTACATCCTCTGTTCCTCTGACCATCTCCTCTGCTCCTCTGACCCTCTCCTCTGCATCCTCTGTTCCTCTGACCCTCTGCCCTGCTCCTCTGACCATCTTCTTTTCATCCTCTGCTCTGCTCCTCTCATCCTCTGACCCTCTCCTCTGCTCCTCTGACCCTCTCCTCTGCTCCTCTGACCCTCTCCTCTACATCCTCTGACCCTCTGGCCATCTCCTCTGCTCCTCTGACCATCTCCTCTGCATCCTCTGTTCCTCTGACCCTCTGCCCTGCATCCTCTGACCATCTCCTCTACATCTTCTGCATCCTCTGTTCCTCTGACCCTCTGCCCTGCTCCTCTGACCATCTCCTCTACATCTTCTGACCATCTTCTCTACATCCTCTGACCCTCTGGCCATCTCCTCTGCTCCTCTGACCATCTCCTCTGCATCCTCTGTTCCTCTGACCCTCTCCTTTGCATCTTCTGACCATCTCTTCTGTGTTCTCTGCTCCTCTCCTCTACATCCTCGGCTCTAAACCAGGTCAAACAGCCGTTACATCTTGACCCGTCTGAGCTTACGGGCGCCGCTCACCCTGCCCCGCAGACAATGCCACAGACAGCTTTGGCACTAAGCGTGGCTCACCTTTTTCAGTCTTAGGAGCTGTACAGACAGACTGACCTAGAGCTCGCACAAACCAGGGCTGCGAGGCTAAAACTGTCGCCAACGTCGCTCGCTCATAATTCAATTAGCGTAATTATAGAAGGGAACAGATGAGCAAGCAGACCATGACCTAACCACAAGGATACCTACCGCCTGTTTCCAAGACATTTAAACTTTGGAAGCAGCTGGGAAAAATATCCAAATGTGATTTTTCTGACAAGCATCCCTGTTATGATTAGATGGATGAAATTTACGTTTTAATACTAGGAGTTCTTTTCAAAGTTCACATTTTAAACACCTCCAGAAGAATTGATGAAAAAAACTGAAATCTGAAGTGACAAACAAATACAGGAATTACATTTCAGAACATGTTTGTGCAGATTTAAACTACAGAGTTAGCAGTTTTTATGTAGAAATTATGGTACTTCAAAAACTGTAGCCTTTGTGATTTGCTAAATGCGTATTTTTTTTAAATACACCTCCTTCTTCTATCACTGAACCTCTTACACAGATTCAGTTGATTACAGTTGGAATATTTTTTCTCATAACTTTTTATTTCCTTCATCAAATTATTTTTGCTTCTTGTTCAAACAGGACACTCACTTAAAGCATTTAATGCAAAATCAAATCTTTTTTTTGGAGCTCTCTCTCATGTTGTAATGCCTGAAGAGGTTTCTATGTGATCTACTTATCTTTGAGTCATCTTGCATTCTCTCCTGGCTCTGTTTGAACACTCTGGTGTGTACAAACTGTCCAAATTTAAAGCGTTTTTTTGTCCGATAATCAGGACAGTTAAGTTGTTGTTAGTATCGTGTTGGCAAAACTGCACCCTGGTCTCTGAAAGTTGTGCAAAGCTCTTTTAAAATCATCGTGGTGAATAATTAGGAAGCTCTGAATGTTTAAGGTAAGTGAGGAAAAACTTTGGAGCACCGCAAGCTGTTTCTGTTTTTATGTTTTTAAGACAGTCAAAATCAGGTATTACATTTTTTTTTCTTTGAGATAAAACTTTACATTGGTGCATTTCCGCAGACGCTTTGGTGTTCCCAGCATCTTTCCCGCGGGTTTTTTCCATGACGCGGGAGTTTCCTCTGGACACCTGAATGAGCTGCATGTGGCTAATAGCATTAAGAGAGAGGACAGCGGGGATTAGCGCGGCACGTTGGGGTTGGTGTTGGCGTGATTAGCTGATGCTGCTCTAGCTTTTGAATGGAGGGGCTATTCTTGTTTTCTTCTGGAAGGTAGATTAGCTTTGTTCTTGAACGACCTGCCTAAACCGGCGCTTTAAACCGATTGGCTCCTGATGCACTGAAGCAGGAAGGAGCCGAGGAGCCAACTCTTTATGCAAGGGAGTTACAAAATCACGATTTATATCAAGAAATAGTAATAATTATTCTAATCTATTGAACTGGTGCAGCTGATATCGTCAACATTTCCAGGGAGTCTGATGCTACCTGGAAGCACTGGGGGTGTGCAAAAATATTGAAATATCGATATATCGTGTCGTTTAATTTGATTTTGGTATATTTTACTCCATTATTTTGTTACACATTACAATTGTGTTGTTTTTTTCAGAGGAAGGAAACTCATTTATGTAGAGTTAGTATCACATTTAGCCATTTTTTTAATGAACTGTATCAAATCGCTTTGAAATTTATTGGAAGTGCACTGTATCGAGATAAGTATCGTATCGTAGACCATATATAGCGAGGTATACTACTGTACTGGCATCTTCTTAATTAGGGTTGTGCAAAAATATTGAAATAGCAATATATTGTATTGTTTAATACAGTATCGATACTGGGGACTATACTCTTGGCGCTACATCGATACAGCAGTCCGCAGTATCGATATAGCGCCAAGAGTATTTTTTGGTATATTTTACTCAATTATTTTATTACAGAAATACAGTTTTGTTGTTTTTTCAGAAGGAAACTAGTTTAAGTGACACATTTGACATTTTCACAGTTTTGAGGATTAAAATGTTTGTGTTTCGTATGAACTTTGCACAACAAGTGGTTTAACAAAGACTTTTAGTATCACACTCATGATTTAGACTTTATTTTTATTGACCCACTTTGAATCGATTTGAAATATACTGTATTCAATCCGAAGTGCACTGTATCGAGATATATATCGTATGTGTAACTTCTTAATGATACCCAGTGTGCACTAGTCTGAGCTGGGATCAAACTGCAGACCTTCTGGTAGGAGGGTGAAAGCACAAACCACTGAGCCACTGCCACACAAACATAACTTATCAGGACTACACTGCAAAACATTAGAAGAACATAAGAAGAAATACTTGGAATCCTTTTAGCAATGTTTAGATGTGAATCACTTTGTCAATACAGCTCAGGTCTCGTGTTTTGCTTAACCAACAGCAACTCAAAACCAAACCACACATTATGACAGTTTACCCATAATTACTTCATAATTATGTGTATCTTTGACCATAATTTGCTGTAACACAAAACTTGCAACAAGCAATAACGCGGCTGCTCGTCTTCTAGAACGTTAGAACTTACTGCAGACGAGGTCACAGGCCAGATCTGTGGAGAGGCGAGCCCACTAGCAAGTATGAATTTTTATCAGCGGTATTTTTTGAGCAATAAAACACGATTCAATTAATATTAGATACATAAGTTTAATGCTATATTGCGGAACATTTCAGCCAAATCAAAAACATCTCAATTTAGAAAAGAATATTAATATCTCAGTAAATCCTGAGCCTATCCACATTAAACAAAACTGTCACAAAGTGTATTCAGCCTATTCTCTGTCAAGAGAAAGAGAAACAAAAGAGAAACTATTTTTTCACAATCGCTTCAGAAAGTGGAGTCATTATTCAGTCCCAAAGACGTCATTGTTGTCATCTGAAAGAACTTAAAGCCATAATATTAATATTAATATAAATTACTTATCTCAATACATAAGCCACGATACGATACCTATCTCGATACAGTGTACTGTACAGTGATTTTTTTTTCAGGTTCAGGAAAAAAATAAAGGCTACATCATGACTGTGATACTAAAAGTCGTTATTAAACCATTTCCTGTGCAAACTTAATATGTAAAACTTGCATTTTATCATCAAAACAGTGAATATGTCAAATGTGTAGCATCAACAAGTTCTTTTTTTCTCCAAACAGGCAACAAAATCGCAGTTCTGGCAAAGTTATTTCATAAAATATACCAAAAAATCCTCTTGGAAATGTATCGAAACATCAGCCCATGTTATTGATACAGTATCATCAAATAAACTACATGATATATCGATATTTCAATATATTTCAAGTTTGAGGAGCCAATCCCGAACTAATAATGAGAAACATTTGCGGATCAGAAGTTTGGAGATTTCATACAGCAGCCCCCCTGACGTCAACAAATTCTAGAACACGAACACGCTCAACTTTACATAAGCAGAAATAGAAAAACGAGCGCATGTTGCTAAAATTAAAACGTAAATGCAATCAGGGACAGCGTGCGCATCTGATTTGGACTAATCAATACCCGCTAATTAGTTCCGCACAGGCTGCACTTGGAAGTACTTGGCCCTGTGCCAGTGGAAAAGTACTCACTGTTGGCAGATGTGTGGAGTGGAGACCAGCTTCTGTATAAAGTCGTTCAGTCCCATCTTCCTCTCTTTGATAAAAGCTGCAACAAAAAGACACACGGAGGGTTCGTTTAAAGTGCAGATATTGAGGATTTTACAAAAGAAAGTTGCATTTTTTTTATATTTTCTTCATAATTTTACTTGCTGGTTGGACACTGTAAGCAGATAAGACATATAGAAGTTGTTACCAAGCAACCATAATGTTAACAACGTGTCTAATTATACAATAGTTACACTTAGACTAATAAAAAATAATTATAACACCTTATTTTGTTCAGATTTTGTTAAATGAAGGTTTTAAACTGTCAGAAAAATGCATTTATTGTGCGTAAATTCTCTGCACTGTGGATGGAGTTTTCTGTGTTGATGACATAGATACAAGGATTCCGTTTTTAAACTCACCACAGCTTCCTGTATGTTTCTACTTTTCTTTTCAACTTGTTTTTCCCCGCCCAAACTGCCACTTCACCTTTTGATGTAAAACTATGATAAATCTTCACCACAGGTACTACCCCATTGCCAAAGTATATGCCAAATTTGAAAAAACCTATGCACTTAGAGATGATTCATAAGGCTCCCAGGAACCTTCTGATGTAAGACCTTGGAGAATAGGACCTGTGTACCGGCGTTAATCCACAGTTTAAGGCCAAACAACCATGAGATCCGTAATTATAGGCCAGATTTGCGTGAGAGCCCGGAGACTGCAGCGGCTTTACGTTATGCAACCAGCGCGGGTCACCCATTCACAAACCCATGTTAAAGCTCAACAAAGCAAGAGCAGTGCAAGAGGCATTTCACACATCCACAGCACCGTCTGGACATTTGACTTTCATTTTCAGATCGATATTTCTTACATTAAAGCACTTGTTTGATTGTCTGATTGAATGAAAATGGTCCATCTGCTTGGACTGTATAGACCAAATGTATGTCATCTAATTTTGGAAAGCCCTCTCATGAGCTGGGGTGAAATTAGAATTGAAATTTGATTGTTGAAAAAGCGGAAATTGGAAAATGAAATTGTAAGATTCAAAAAAATTCGTATCCACCTGCTCTTAACGCTTCATCGTGTCATTGCATTGCATTATTGCCTTGTTATAAAAACACTGCACGGATAGTGAGTTTTAGCAACCACTTATAAATGAAATTCAACTTAAAACGCAGATTTAAGCAGGTAAAATGTTAAATTCGTCTAGGTTTTATTCAAGTTTTGCTTTTTGGCGCTCACCTGCCAACACGGCAACGATCCCCCGCATCTTGCAGTAAGTTAGGTCGCATCCAGCTTCGGTTACAGCCATTTTCGGAGCTTTTTTATCGCTTTAGAATCCTCAGAACACTGTAAAAAACCCCGCAAACGCTACCGTAGTTCCTCCTCGGGTCCGTGGAAAAGCCCAGAACCCGCCGTGACGCTGTTTTAATCGCGTTTCCACTGATAAACTCCTCGGTCTAGGTCGCTCTTCCCGAGAACCTTATCTGTCTCGAACTGACACGGATCGCGGCGCGGAGGTTTATATATGAACCACGCCCCCTCCTCACTTACGTCAGCCGCGTTGCCCCGAGAGACGGCGCAGGGGACGGAGGGGGGGGGGGGGGGGACGTGGGGGGGTTTGACGTCACGGGATTCCGCCGCAGCCATTTTCATTTCTAATTTTATTTATTTAATTTCCTCTTTCGGACCAGACAGAAAGAGCCAAAATGAGCAGAGATCCGGCGCACACTAAATAATGATTTTTTTTTTTTTTTTTTTTTTTTTAAAGATATTGTTTAAAGAGGCACTATGTCAATTTGTGGGGGTCCACTTTCATGAGGTTATTGATCAGGGTGAGCAGACGTCCCTATTTCCCCGGGACAGTCCCAGTTTTGAGCCTGTGTCCCCTGTCCCAGCAGATTTATACAAAACCACTGATTTGTCCCAGTTTTATGCAAGAAATGTGATAGAAATGTCATAGATTGGTCCAATCTGATCTTTCTATACCGGGAAGACTAAACCAGGACTACATCAGCTCTAAACCAGGTCTAAACCAGGACTACACTAGGACTATGTCAGGTCTAATCCAGGACTAAACCAGGTCTAAACTAAGACTACATCAGGTCTAAACCAGGTCTAAACCAGGACTACATCAGGTCTAAACCAGGTCTAAACAAGGACTACATCAGGTCTAAATCAGGTCTAAACCAGGACTATGTCAGGTCAAAATCAGGTCTAAACCAGGTCTAAACCAGGACTACATCAGTTCTAAACCAGGACTAAACTAGGACTACATCAGGTCTAAAACTCAGGTCCAAACCAGGACTAAATCAGGTCTAAACCAGAACTACACCAGGAGTACAACCACACCTCTACATGACATCACAAGGTAGAAAAGAGCACGGAGATGTTTTTTTCCCCCATCAGGGAGTTTGACATCATCTTCACCTTCTAGAATAGCGGTGTGAAGATGTTCAGAAGAGGCTCATTAACAGTCCGTGATTACTGTTGTACAATAATTGTTACACAAACTGGCCTCACGCAGAGTGACCGAGCTCGTCTGCTGTTCTGAGGTCAAGGACGTTCTGTACCAAACAAACTCCTCACCTTGTTTATAAGAACACGAACAGACTAAATGTGATGTGTCATATCTGTGTTCTCATATCTGTGAACATTTTAGCTCCGTGTACCATTTGTTCTTTTGAATTTCAATTAAGAACGAAAAACAGTTTGTTATTTCATTATCAGTGTTGGGGAGTAACAGATTACATGTACCGGAGTTACACAATCAGAGTACAAATTATGAGTAACTGTATTCAGTTACAGTTACTGTTTCAGTGAGTGGTAATTGGATTACAGTTACTTTGTTGAAGTAAATGGATTACACGGCGGTATTTTCCTGTTTTCCTGTTTTTCACATTTTGGGCTTTTTTGTTTGTTTGTTTGTTTGTTTGTTAGTTTTTTCGGTAATTCCACTCATTGCCGGAACCAAGTCTAAACTAGAGCTAAACCAGGTCTAAACCAGGTCTAAACCAGGTCTAAACCAGGTCTAAAAGGTCTAAAACAGGTCTAAAAGCAGGTCTAAAATCAGGACTAAACCAGGACAAAACCAGGACTAAATCAGGACTAGAACAGGTCTAAACCAGGACTAAACCAGGACTAAACCAGGACTAACCCAGGTCTAAACTAGATCTAAACTAGACCTAAACCAGGTCTAAACCAGATCTAGAACCAGGACTAAAACAGGATTTAACAGGTCAAAATCATGGTGCGTGGACGTGTCTCCTCCTCTTCTATCAATAATATTTTTAATACGGCAAACCGAGTAATCCAAATTATTCAGATTACGTTACTCACCTTAAGTAACTTCATGGATTCTGTTACAAACTACATTTTGGTGTATGTAATCTGTAATCTGTAGAGGAATACATTTTAAAAGTCACCTTCCCAACACTGGTCATTATTCTGTTTTAGTGTCAAACAAAAAAAAAAAATGATGTTGACCTCTATTTACAGTTTTTAATTTAAAGTTTATTTCAGAAACCAGTCTCAGTGCAGTGCATATTACAATTTGGATATTTTATTCTCTCTTCTTTAAAAATCGTTAACAATTTTGTGGACAAACATTTCCTCTTCTTTTATAGTGACGTGTTTACTTTGGTGTAGTGTTGTAGTCAAGACCGCACAAATCCAGACCAAGACTAATCCAAGACCACAAGACTTTAAAGGTTTAGACTGAGATAAAACCGAGACCAAATCAAGACCATCTTTGTCATTTCCTACATGTATTTGTATTCTACAGTTATTTTGGCACAAATATATATCAATGCTTTTATTAATGTATCATCATTTATAAAACCAATTCCAAACACCTCCAAAACCGAGACAAAGCCATGTCCAAGCACCTTCAAGACCGAGACAAAACCAAGTCCAAGCGCCTTCAAGACCGAGACAAAACCAAGTCCAAGCACCTTCAAGACCGAGACAAAACCAAGTCCAAGCACCTTCAAGACCGAGACAAAACCAAGTCCAAGCACCTTCAAGACCGAGACAAAACCAAGTCCAAGCACCTTCAAGATCGAGACAAAACCAAGTCCAAGCACCTTCAAGACCGAGACCAGACCGAGTCCAAGCGCCTTCAAGACCGAGACAAAACCAAGTCCAAGCACCTTCAAGACCGAGACAAAACCAAGTCCAAGCACCTTCAAGATCGAGACAAAACCAAGTCCAAGCACCCTCAAGACCGAGACCAGACCGAGTCCAAGCGCCTTCAAGACCGAGACAAAACCAAGTCCAAGCACCTTCAAGACCGAGACAAAACCAAGTCCAAGCACCTTCAAGATCGAGACAAAACCAAGTCCAAGCACCTTCAAGACCGAGACCAGACCGAGTCCAAGCGCCTTCAAGACCGAGACAAAACCAAGTCCAAGCACCTTCAAGACCGAGACCAGACCGAGTCCAAGCGCCTTCAAGACCGAGACAAAACCAAGACCAAAGGAGCTTGGGTCTGAGATGAGACCAAGACCATAAAAAAGACCAGTCTCAAGGACTATGACTCTACTTTCGCGTCTTAGAAAATAATTGTTGAAGTCCATGACAAGAAACAGGAAGTAGTGAGGTGATCAAATGTGTTCAGTTGACTCCATAGAACTATAATTAAAAGAGTTTTTTATCATAGATCCATGGTTGACATTGAACTGACACACGGCACACTAAGCAGCAGAACATCCAGGGCAAATAAACCAGAGACAACAACATATCAGAATTAAAATAGTCACTGAGATTGTTTTTTGATTGGTGTTATTTGAAATGAACTTTAATTTAAATATTGGAAATAGAGGTTGAAATCTGTTTTTGTTTGACTGTTGAACTGTTTTCCCATTTTATTATTTTTCGTTCTTAATTGAAATTCAAACGAACGATGGCACACTGACCATTTTATTTTCCCTCTTTCTTTCATTCATTTTTCTTCCAGTCTGTTCTGCAGCGCTGAGCCGAGCAGAGGAGGGGGACACAGGACGGAGGGAGGGAGTGACGTCAGAGCGGAGGAGAGAGAGAGGACTCCTACATCCCCCGTCTCCCCTTTCCATCTGTCTTCTCTCTGTCTCTGTCTCTTTCTACGTCCTCTCCTTCGCCTGTTTCTCTTCTCACTCTCCTCCTCATGCCCTCACCTCCTCTCTTCTCTCCTCCTCCTCTTTCTATCATCCTCTCATCATCTCTCCCTCTCTCTCTCCTCATCGCCCCTCTCCTTCTCCCTCTCTCTCCTCCTCCGCTCAGACCCTCCCCTCACTATTTTTTATTTTTTTATCTGAATGGAAAAGTCCCAGATTCACTGCAGTCATTGAGTAACAAAGGGATTCCACTCGACCGTAAAGGAAAGGCGGAGAAGCTGTTGAAACCAGACGCTCCGGTGGATTGACGTAGTTCGATTTGACTAGAGCTTAACCGGTGTCGAGGCAAAGAGCACGAGGGCAGCCCCACACAAAAAACACCTGTAACCTGCACGAAGAAGAAGAATGCAGAGGCTTAGGTGTTAGTAATCACCAGAGAACAAGGAGCTCGCCAGTTCCTATTGCAATTTGAAACAGCTTCAGTAATGATGTCTGACGTACTTATGCTGTGTCGAGGCAAAAAGCACAAGGTCAGCCCCAGATACAAACCTGTAACCTGTAATGATGTCCTTGTGCAGTGTAGAGTGGCTAAATGCAGCATAATACAGATGAGTTTATTCTCATTAAAGGAGATCTGTAATTTCTGGAGCTTTTAAACATGTTTTAACAGTTTTCCCGTCTCGTTTGTCCTCTCAAAGTAGGATTTAGAGTGGGGCATGCATGCTTATCTAAACGACTGCAGCCTGAAGTGACCCAAATCCGATGTTTTCACCCCTGTGCTCCTCTATCTGATCTCTTAATGACAGTCTGAAAGACACAGATCCGATTTTTTTTTCAAATGCAACCCAGGCCACTTGAGCTACGTTCAGTCTGCAGGGCTTAATGCTCAATTCCGATTTTTTTGTGAAATCCAATGTTTTTGTGAGGTCGTTCACATTTCCAATTAAATGCATCTTGTATGTGACTCCAGTGTGAACATTAAAGGGCCCAAAAGTGTCCCACATGTGACACTGGAGACACGACGACGTCAACCGCAGCGAGCGTCTCTGTGTTTACAGAAGTTGTCCAAACATGGACGCAGCATCGAGCACCTGGAGATTTTAAAGTTCCTCTTGTACCGGAGCCAGAACATGAACAACTTACTTGTTTTAAGGAGGAGATTGAGAAGGAGAAGGACGAGGTTTTTGGTCGTGGTGTTTTGTGGGGCAGCGGCAGCGACGTCCGTTGAAAGGAACATGTGGATGTGGAGACGGAGCCAAGAGTGGTGAGATAGAGACGTGCTTTGCTTCAGTGACACGGAGTTCATTAACAATTTCCATATGACAAGAAGAACATTTTTGTACATTTGTGTCTTGTTGACAACGTGTAGGTGGATGAATGCACTTTGACTGTTCAGACTGAAGTCGCATGTCAAAAGA